GAAACGCGAGGAAGCGGGTTCAGGACGCGAGACGACGACGACCCGTCGAGCCTTTTCTGTCTCCCAGCGGTCTTGAAGAGGCCCCGGGGCGGGTCGCCAACCCTATCCAACCCGCCTGCCGCAGCACCCTCGCCGCCCCGCCCCCGCCGCGGAACGCCACCTTCCGAGTCGCGGCTCGAGGGGGGAAGAAAACGGGATGGACCACGGGAGCAGCGGAGAACCTGGCTCCGGGCGGGAACTAGTTTGCCTCCTCAAACCCCTTACCTCCCCGCCCGCCGCCAACCCCCGAGGAAATTGGAGACACAGGCCCTTCCGCCGCTACCACCTGGAAGCCCTGGGCCCGCCCCACGCCCCACCCCCCTGGGCCCGCCTCCAGCTCCGCCCCCGCCGCGGAGCCGAAAGCGCGTAGCTGGGTTGGAGTCGCAAGGTCTGCGCGGACCGCTTTGCGGGGGGCCCAGAACGCCCCTACGACCACCACGTGTGGCCCCGCCCCGCCCTGAGAAGAGCTCGCAAGCAAGGCGGTGAGCCCGCCCTCCAGCCCCGCCCCGCAGCGGAGCGGAACCTTCCGAGTCCCGGAAAGAGACCTGCGCAGGGGAGGAGCAGCCCACCTCACAGGAGGCGGGAGAAGTAGGCCCGCCCACCGCGGCCGCCCGAGCGCCGGGCCGCCGGCCAGGATCCTAGCTATGGACTTGGCCGCGTCCCCGCCGCCCTGCAGAAGCCGAGTAGTGGGGCCCCTCTAGTTCCCAGCGAAGGAAAAGGGGGAGGTCGGGCAGGGTTCCCCAGCTGCAACCCCCCCTCCGGCTTCTGTAGCGCCGCTCCTGGTCACTGATCTCAAAGTGAGGCCTGCAGTCCACCTCCTATAGGCCTGCAACTTGAAATTGGCGTTACGGTTTTTCGTAGCGGCTAATAACCTACACTTGACCCAGGCTTTGACCCAGTGTTCATTTTCCAACAGCATCTAGTCCACGGGACAGCTCGGCTAATGTAATTTTCACAAGTCCTCTACTAGTCTCCACGCCTGTACTATATGCTTGACCTAGTAGGCCATTCCTCCTCCTCCTTCTCTTCCTATAAGCCCTCCCCATTCTCTGAATTTCCATAACAATTTCTTTGTAAGAACTTAGGTCTCGGAGTTAGTTTAACTTAAATTCAAATTCCCCTTCTGCCATTTACAAGTGTGAGCTTCAGCGTGCCACTGTAGCTGTTTGAAATTCAACATTCTCATCTGTAAAATGGGGATAATAGCACCCACCTCCTAGGGTGGCTAACATCAAGAGGATGAATACAACGCATTTAGCACCATGCCTGGCTCATAGAAAAGTATTTCATAAGTCATGGTTGTTTCCATCCATCATTGGACAATGTGCTGCCTCCTATGTTAGTTTGTTTTCAGATGAGGCATGCTTTTCTACCTGGACTATAAATTACTCATTCAAACAGTCTTTGATAGCTCCTGCCTGTGCTCGCTTCGGCAGCACATACACTAAAATTGATAGCTCCTGCCATGGCCGGTGAGCATACAGTTGTGGCTCAGTGTTGAATGAATGAAAGAAAATCAGTCCTACTAATTGGGTCCCCTTTACTGAGTTCACTTTAGAAATTCCATACCACAAATCTCTCTCACTCAACTAAAGCACCAAAATCCTCATCATCTCACATACTTTTTTCTTCCGATTGGCTCTTAAATTATGCAGCAATCCATGTGATGTGCCTCCAGGCAGAATTTGCTATGGTGTAGGGGTGAAATGAGACATTATGTTGTCACCATTCAATCTCTTTTGGAATCGGAATATGTACTCTGACTAGAACTCATGTATTTTGAATCAAAAAGCTGGGATCATTGCTTCATTTCTGTTTTTGTTCATACTGAATGCTTCTTCAAGAGTCCATTTTGCAGCCATGGGCAGGGAGGTGGGGGGGAATAACTGATAACCTTTGCTCCCTATCTGGCATTTCCATTCAGTGTGGGAACATTTTCAGTCCATTTCATTCTTAGTAAATTCTTCTATTCATGCATATACCCCCTTTTGGTATATGGCTAGTCTATATTCCTAAGCTATGGTCTAGACTTTAATGAATATTATCATATTAGATCTATTTTTCAGTAAGCTTGAAATCTCAGGATAAAACCAAGAAGGAAGGCTACTACTTTTTACCTTTTAAATTTCTATGCAAATTTTGGACCGTAAGCTGTGCTATATAAAAATCAGGCTCATACCTTAGTATCCTATGTCCCTAAGACACAAAACCTCCCTATCTTGGTTTCCATATCCACAGAGCTTTTCTCTGGCTGTGATCCAATAGAAACCTGTCTCCAAGTCATTTCCAAAATATTTGTCAAGAATCAGATCTGGAATGTGATGGGCTATGTTGTTGTTTCTGAAGCCGAATCATGATCTTAGTAAACATGAAAGCCCAAAACTGGATTCTGGGGTAGTACCACCTTTGACTTCTCTGACCCCATCCAGAGAGTCTGCCCCAGTGTCCTGCCGTGGGGGCTTAGGCCAAGGAAGTTCTCAAAGAGCCACAGGTTAGCATCCAAGGGAGAAATGACCCAACACTTCTTCTTGAAGGCTCAAGTTTTCAAGTATAAAGAAAAGCACTCCATCTTTGACACAGAGAGGGTCCCTTCTGAATCAATTTGCTGAAAATAGCCAATTTGCCAAATTTCATTAATTTTTTTGACAATTAAATTTTTGTTCACTGGAGGCCATTGTCATTGCAATATTTTAAAGAATGTACAATGTGTCTCTGTTCCAGATCCCTAGAGCTAGTATGAGACTAAGAGGTAAAGAGGACTGTAAGACCAGGGACTGTAAGATTTCTTCTCAGTGATGAATATATATATATATAGTTAGGAGAATATATTCTGAAAGAAGGTATTCAATTTTTGTCTGCCCCAACTTTTGAATGCTGTACCTCCAGAAAAGGAAAAAGTATCTACTGACAAGAATTCTGCCCATTCAAGATTATGTTTTTATATCCACCCAGTCTTTCCTTTTTCCTCTCCTTCAGACTCCAACTGCATCAGTGAGGAGCTGAGGCAGAGACATATTGAACAGTCCTTAAAATGCTGTCATGGAGAAAAAAAATGGAAACACACGAGTCCATTCTGTGAATTGTTCATTCAGTAAAGTAGACTTTTGTCAAAATGGTCTTCAAACTAACCTGCTTTCTAGGTAACCTCATTACATACAACCTAGTATCCCAAATGAAGCCATTTCACCATTTTTGCTAAGAAAAGTCACGATGCTGCTCCCTGAAGTGAAGAGTTACTTTGTGGGATTAACGACTGCAGTGTGTTTTGGGAAAAAAACTTCTCAAACGTTCTGAGGAAATTCTTCAAATTCTGGTCAATGCTACGACACTCCTCGCCTCCTCATACTGGCACTTCTCTCTCCTTCATTGGAATCTCAGACTGGGACATCCATCTTCAACGGAAGATGCTTCTCAGGAACATTCTCTCTGCCCTGCCCCTTATTCGTGTGAAGTAAAAAAGGAGGCAAGAGAAATTGGCTTAAGGCCCAGAGCCCATACACAAACACAACAGAAAAAATGAGGGGGTGATGGACAGGATCTAAGGGACATCGGAATTGTGCATTCTTTGGTGTACGCTTTGATTACACCGCATGCAGGAGATTTGGTTTCTGAGCTCTCACACCCAGATCTGGAGGTCACTGCCTTCCTCACCAACGTAATCCTCAACATCTGTGAGGCAACTGAGCGTCCTAGGAGAGACTGCTCAAGAGCTCTTGTGTAAGTGCGGCCAGCTCCCTCCATCTGTGGCCCTCACGTGCGTATCAGCTCCCCAGGAGTCCCTATTCCTGTCACCACCCTCCCGAAATCCTTCTGTTTAATGATGAGGAAGCAGACACACGGAAGGGATCCAAATCCGGGACTGGACACATTTGTTAAAGAGAGAACTCTTGAAAGAGATTAAGGGGAAGGGGAAGAGGAAAAGGTGACCTCAGAAGCTGCTCTTGTAAGGAAGAACCCTGTTCTAATCCCAGGGTGATGGTGTGTCTGCTGTTTGCCAGAAGACGTCAATGTCACGTTCATCTTAATCAGGCCACTTGAACGCCACACCGCCAAGGAAAGAGAGTGCAAACGCCTTCTCTTTGTGAAAGCTTTCAAACGCAAAGGACTTAACTACAAATTTATTTTGGCGATTTTAACAGTGTTGTCAATTTTAACATAAATACAGGACAATTAAATAAATCAGAGAAGAAATATTGCAAAGGCAAATCAGCACTCACAGAAGTGTATTACATTATTACTGTGGTTAATCTGGGATACAACATTCACTTGAAATATATGCAAGGGAACCTTAGTGAAAGGCCTAACTAAATAGTTTTGCAATGTTCCTAATAAGGACATCCTTGAGACACTGGTCAAGCAGCTGTAGGTGGGAAGCAAGATACACCCTCCATAACTAGGAACAATCAGGGTTTGGTACAGATGGAAACAATAGCCCTGAAGGATAGGTCATCTTCCCAATAGCTGCTTCCCCTTGTCACTATATATTCTTCAAGACTTCACACCTTTTCAAAATAACCATAGCTCTAGCTGGGCCAGACGGTACCAGTCATGACCATTAACAAAGCACTATGCAGTTGCCTTTTTTTTTTTTTTTAATTTTTTTTTTTTTTTTTTTTATTTCTAGGAGAGAGACAGCGTGAGCAGGGGAGGGTCAGAGAGAGAGGGAGTGACAGNAAAGCACCTCTTCAGTTTTTGCTTGTCTAAACAATATGTTTATTTCTTTTTTTTTTTTAATTTTTTTAATGTTTTATTTATTTCTAGGAGAGAGAGAGAGAGAGCGTGAGCAAGGGAGGGTCCGAGAGAGAGGGAGTCACAGACTCTGAAACAGGCTCCAGGCTCCGAGCTGACAGTCAGCACAGAGCCCGACGCGGGGCTCGAACCCAGAACCGCGAGATCATGACCTAAGCGAAAGTCGGACGCTTAACCGACTAAGCCACCCAGGCGCCCCTGCAGTTGCCTTTTAAAGAACAGCAATACAATTATTTTCCCTCATACACACCTCCTTTAGAAAGTAATCCTACTCTACTCCCCTTTTCTGAAAGGCTCTGGGGACTTGAGAAGTGGCAGTGTTTGTATCTCCTCCACATTCACGATCTTCCTGACAGATGGTCTAGATTACAGTTCCATCCCTCTCTGTGGCCAAGGTACTAAGTGAAACGTCTTGGTGCAGATTCCCTGATCCGGGACTAGGCATGAGGTCAGGAGACGGGCATTGGTATTGGGTGCTGCATATGGTTGCACAAGGATGAGTGAGGCTAAACTATGGTCCCCGCTCTGTATGCCAGACCATGAGCCCTTGGGGCTGTGTCTGACCAGTGGGGCACCTTCTTCCAAGCTGCTCAAAGGCACTCTATGAGCTAATTCTGGCACTGTCTGCTTACGTTTTGTCCAGTCTGGCTGGCATCATTATTTCTTGATTTCAGTGAAGCTTCTGTATTTCACATCCCATATAATCTCCAAAAGGAGCTTTAGAATTCACTGAACCATCAAGGATTTTCTGAATTGTCACATTAGACACAATAACACAACCACGATTCTACATAGAAATAAATTTACACAGTAGAAAATAAATACAAAAAACGTAGAAGATATTTGACATGTGGGTCACCAGAATTTAGCTTATTTACAACAAAGGCACGCACCACTAAACTCACCAATGGGCTGAAGTCAACAGGTGCTTTCTAGGACGTTATCAAAGACGACTTAGCCTCTTAGAAATGTGGCTAGAAAGGAACTACTTTGATTTTAAATAAGTCTTACTCGTACTGTGTTGTTTAAACCCAATCTTCTTTTTAAAATAAAGAATAAAAAAACAAACTACAAATGTCTAAAAACCATGAACAAGGTCTCGGTTTCCTCTTCCAATAACCATTGCCCTCAAATAGCAAATGCTTCTCCAGAGGTTGCCGAGTATAAAATTAGTTGACTTTCATACATCTCACATTGTGTAAAAGATAAAATCGGACATTTTCACGCTGTCAAGCATCATGCTTTGATTTTAGAAAAAGGAATCACATTTACTCAATAAAGTGTAAGCTTCCCCGCTTTGAAGTCCTTCTGAGAGCGATACGGCTTTTACCATTGCACGGGTCTTCTTTCTCGTTAAACATGTGCTGCTTTCCAGTGAAATCGTGAAGGCACACATCTCCATTCTGAACACTGAAAGAAACCCCATTCTTCTCTGAAGACGCAGTCCCTATATAAGGAAAAGCAAAATTGGTGTCACGAAGTATCCACAGAAAGCATTTAAAAAATAAACAAACTTCAGCGTTATTTTATTCTGATGTAGGCACATGTAGAATGTTATTTTTAAAAATATATTTGTTTTTTACTTTTCATTCCTTCCCTAAGGCCATTCAAAGGAAGCAAAACAAACTAGAGAATAAGTCAGAAACCAGTTCTCCGTGGCAATTTTTTTTAATGAAACGGTTGAAAATGAAGCAAAGCAATATATTTGATCTGAAAAGGCCCATTTCCTAACTCTGGTTGATCATTATCGATCATATGTGTAGTGTATCGATCACATATCGAGCATAAGTATAGTATAACCTGTAATACTGTGGTCTCCCCCAAAAGGTTAAGGTTAACAGAGATCCCCATAGGTCCCCTTACAAGGTTCTTGGTTCCTTAAGATTCCTATGAAATAAAATCTTGTACCAGATAAACCCAGAGCAGCAATACCATAGCCAAGAAAAAAATCATCTCTTGCAGACCAAACCAGCCCCTCTGACGAAATCAGGACAGGACAGATTCCCAAGAGGAAACTACTAATGACAATCTCAGCATCTAGGCCAGGGTGCAGCTGGACATTCTAGAGACATCACAGTTTGGACTTGGGCCTCCCATACCGCAAGCAGGCCCTGAATTGTGTGTGTGCAGGCAGGAGGGAGCCACAGCTGCTGAGACACTTTGGCTACTTGGCACCATCCTTCTGACCATTATACTATTGGAAGACAATGTAGAAAGCTGAATACTTAGCTCCCATTTTTTTTTAGTTCATGCCATAATTGCAGTAATAATGGTAACAGTGCCGAGAACTTTGTAAGTATTATCTCATTACACTACAGGTTGAGTGCTATTATTATTCCCATTTCACAGATGATGAAACGAAGGTTTCAGAAATCAAGTGCTTTGCACAAGGTTATACAGATCAGAATTAATGGAGCCAACACGTGATGTTTGTTTCAAACTGTGAGCTTGTGGCCCCACATACCTAATGAGATGGCTGCTGGCACCAAGCCTGTAAAGCGTAACTAAATATGTAACATTCACACAAACTAGGTAATAGGTATGGTTAACACAGCTCAAATAGGCCATGTGACTATCTGAGGCAGCTATCCTGAGTTAGGCATTTTCGTCTGAGGACATTTTGGTGCAGGGACAATTTGACCTGGTATAATAAACCATTCAACTTCCAGCTTCTGTTTTCAAATTGCCTATCCCATCCCTCATCCATCCCAGATTCTGGTGTGCAGCCTGAGAAGTCAGGGATGAGCATATTACATGGTTAAAATTTTGGCTGTTCTAGGGCCGACTGGGTGGCTTAGTCGGTTAAGCGTCCAACTTCGGCTCAGGTCGTGATCTTCCAGTCAGTGGGTTCGAGGCCTGCGTCAGGCTCTGTGCTGACAGCTCAGAGCCTGGTGCTGCTTCTAATTTTGTGTCTCTGTCCGTCTCGCACTCACGCGCTCTCTCTCTCACTCACTCTCCCTCTCTCTCTTTCTCTCTAAAATAAGTAAATGTTAAAAAAAAAAAAAAATTGGCCATTCAGGTGGCCCAAAATGTAACCCCACCCTCACTGGCAGCCATCAAAAACAGCTTTGTCAAATCAGCCATGTCAAACAGCTGTGCAAAATGTGTCGCTTCAGTCAAATCTGATTCCCCGAAGAATGGCAACGTAGGCTAGGCAAATGAGGCTTCATCTCTGAGTTGTGTCTAGAATATGGAAAAATCTGGCTTTAAGAAATCCAAACATTTAAAAAAATTTTTTTTAAACATTTATTCATTATTTTTGAAAGAGAGAGAGAGACAGAGCATGAGCAGGGGAGGGGCAGAAAGAGAGGGAGACACAGAATCTGAAGCAGGCTCCAGGCTCTGAGCTGTCAGCACAGGGCCCGACACGGGGCTTGAACCCACGAGCTGTGAGATCATGACCTGAGCCGAAGTCGGATGCTTAACTGACTGGGCCACCCAGGCACCCCAAGACCTCCAAATATTTTTGTGCAAGCCAATAGGCTTTACTGATACGTTGTGATTCTGAGGATTCAAGATGGCTTACTTCATACCTCTGATTTCTCTGCTTTGAATTTGCTTTCTCATAATAACTTATTAACCAGCCTCAATCGCTACTGCCTGTGCTCTTTACCTATATTGGGTCATTCCTGATACGGCCATTTGGCCCAGAAGCCAGAGCTATTACCCCGGTATACATAGCATGGAGCTAAGGCCATGGGGTAGCTGTTTCTCATCTTCTATAGCAATGGTTCCCAGTGAAGGGGGGTTATATGATTTTACCCCTCCTAGGACGTTTCAGAATGTCTGAAGACATTTTTGGTTGTCACAACTGGGGGTGAGTTGGTGGGTGCTACTGGGATCTGGTGGGTGGAAACTAGCATGTTGTTAAACATCCCCAAGTGCACAGGACACCCCCACACACAACAGTTACCCAGCTCCAAATGCCAATTGTGCCGAGGTTGAGAAACCTCAATATAGAGGCACTCTATCGTGTTGTTGAATTCTATAAAACCAGCAGGACCTCCCATTTTTGGAGGGTTGGAAAACTATGTGGTATATAAGCCTTCTCACAAACTTATTTGGATTCATCATGAAAATAATATCTGAAAATGATGAATAAAGTCAAAATCTCTTGAGGAGAAAGTATAGCAGCAGAAATGAAGTTTTTATAAAAATGATGTATTAAGCCAAAGAAGATGAAAATACATAAGCTTTTATGAGTAATGAACAGCCCAATTGTACGAAAGAAAGAAAATGTAATGGAAGTTTTAGCTAGAAATGTCAGAATTAGTATAAGGTGCAGGAGCCATAATCTGTTCATGTACTGGTCACATGTATGGTCACAATTCATCCACACTGTGGAAAAGAATGAACAAACATGACAAGCAAAACATAGGGAAGTTTAAAAGTGTTGAAGATATGTAGGACTATAGATGTACTGAAAAATTGATACGGTCTTATCAATGATTAGGTACTGCTTGCACAGAGTTTGCAACATTAAAAATTTTAGATTGTCACCAAGTCCCATCATGAAAAACTGACTCTTAAAAAATAAAGGTTTTGGCATTTGCTCTAAAATGAGTAAGTCTGGATTAATAAACTTCCTCTTCTATAACAGAACCACATTTTGATCCACTGGTCCTATGTCATTTTTCCCTGAGCTGAGGAAAAATGTCATTAAAGGATAAAACGACTTTAATAAAACAAACACTAGCTTCAGAAATACTGTATTGAGACATACATACCATTCCCGCTCACAAGGCCTGAGCAATCGCTATTCACCAGCAGCGTGGTGGAGTGTGTGGAGTTACTGTTCGACTGCAAGGAATTTGAAGAGCTGGACACTCCTTGGTTTACGGTCTGCTTCTTTAAACCATTAGTAGCAGTTTTACTCCAGTCTACAGCACAATAGGCATTTCAGAAAAACCAGGGGGAATGGTAAAGCTCAAATGCAAGAGACAGATCATCGCAGTATAACCTGATCTAGCAACCGATCTCAATTCCAGATCTCACTTCCACTTCTTACAAAGAAGTCACACATTTCACAAATGTATGATAAAATGTATTTTCGTTTAAGCCTATACACATTTATCCTTTAAGTGACTACCTGGTTAAAAGTAACCTATATTCTCTTGGACTAAAGGCCACGCTGATTTGATTATGTCTATAAATAGTCCCTGAATTAGGTAGTAGTCCAGAGCCCAGGACTGTCTTCACAAGAACACAAGATAACTGTGTTGTGATGACTGATGGCTCTTAAATGGTTTAGAAGAACCGAACGAACTGTACTGCCATTTTCTGAGTACAGATCTCACGCCACCAGATCTTTGCAATATTGCAAAGGTTGTGTTCATGAGTGGTCATCATGTAAAGGAATTTATTTTTTCAAACAATACTTCATTTTTCTTATTTTCTAGAAAATGAGGAATTTACTCCACAATGCAGCAGGGCATACCTTCAGGTAACTTCAAAATAACCAAAGGCATGCTCAAGCTTGTATATAAAGTCTGGCCCACTAACAAATCAAACAACCGACCAGGACCTGTGGTAAAAACATTGAGCCAGGACTTTTTTTTTTTTTTTTTACAAGAAAATAATATGCTTTATTAAAGAACCATAGAATTTTTAGAATGTTCTTATTTAATTTCCAGTTAGTTAATAGTGGATGTAATGTTATTTCAGGTGTACAGTAGTAGAGTGATTCGACACAACCATACATCATCCGGTGCTCGTCACAAGTGCCCCCCTTAATCCTGCCACCTATTTAACCCATCTCCCCACCCCTCAGGTTGAGCTAAGACTTAAAAAGTTATGAAAGTAAATTTTAAAAATTATTTTGGGTAAATGGAAAACCTGAGCTCAAAAGGAAATTCTAAAAATTTCACTCGTTTCATTTAAGAAGCAACAAGCCCATTAATTTATGCTCAGCTAGTTCCCAGGCAGGAGTAATTATTTTTTAATTCATTAGGTTTTATTTCCTAATGTTCACAATTGGGATCTGTTCATGGATTTCCAGATCAGACAGCCTTTTGGCATTGATTGCTTGATAGATCTTAAATTTTTTTTTTTTAATGTTTATTTATTTTTGAGACAGAGAAACAGAGCGTAAGCGGGGGAGGGGCAGAGAGAGAAGGAGACACAGAATCTGAAACAGGCCTTGGGCTCTGAGCTATCAGCACAGAGCCCGATGCGGTGCTCAAACCCACGAATCGTGAGATCATGATCTGAGCCAAAGTCAGATGCTTAACTGACTGAGCCACCCAGGCGCCCCAATCACTTGATAGATCTTAACTTCTATTTTTTCCTTAGGATTTAAGAGAAGAAAAAGGTAAATCTTTACCAGAATTTTCAGCCAGCCGTAACTTTCCACAACAAAGATACCGCCTCCATTGCTTTCTGACGTTCTCTTTCGCTACACAGTAAAAGATGAATATGAAAAATCCTAGGGAGGAAAAAAATGTAACATAATTCCAAACTAGGACCTGAATATCATGAGCTTCCTTTGCACAAAAGATAAAATATTTGGTAGCTATAGGCGAAGTGAAATTTTGTGAATCGAAAAAAAATGTCCAAAGTCCTGAGAAAGTTTGCTATTGAAAGGCATCCTGAATCAAGAAGATGTGGTTCATCTATACCATGGAATACTACATGGCAATGAGAAAGAATGACATCTGGCCATGTGTAGCAACGTGGATGGACCTTGAGGGTGTTATGCTGAGCGAAATAAGTCAGGCAGAGAGGGACAGATACCATATGTTTGCACGTATAGGAGGATTAGGAGGAACTTGACGGAGGAACAAGGGGGAGAAGAAGGGCGGAAATGGTGGGGGAGAGGGAGAGAGGCAAACCATGAGAGACTCTTGAATGCTGACAAAAACTGAGGACTGATGGATGTGGGGGGGAGGGGGGATGGGCACGGAGGAGGGCACTTGTGGGGATGAGCACTGAGTGTTATGTGGAAACTAATTTGACAATAAACTATTAGAAAAAAAAAAAAAAAGAAAGGCATCCTGAAGGGACTCTCTTTGTAAGATAAAAAAATCCTTTAAAATTAATGACAACCTCTATTTCCAAAATTAAGCTGTCCCTCCTCTCACATCCTGTCCTTGACCTTCCCTGTCTTTGGAAGTACAAGCCATCCATGCAGGATGCCAGTTCACACCTAGGCTCCTACCTCCTCAGCCCCTCCATATTTACCCATTTTCATGCTCTGTCAAGTGCCACATCCTTGTCTGCCTCAAATCCCTGACTCAACCTCTCCAGCCCACAGCTCAGTCCCAAGCCTGGTACCCTGTGGTGGTGTCCTTGTCTGCCTTGCAGCCTCTCTCTAATCTGCTCAAGCAAACCGTCCACTGGCAACCTGGCCACGAGGAGAGCGATGCTAGAGACCTGAAGAGGCGCTCAGGCTCTGCCTCCCGCCCGCCGTCTTCCTGGTTATGCAGGCAAAGGCTCCCCACTGCTACTCCTCCTCCAGGCTTTTACCAAGAAGTATTTGCTGAATGGATGGACAAATTCTGAATTCTCCCTCTCCTGAAGCCCCAATCGATCTACTGTAAAATCTTCCTTCTAAATATCAGGTTTGCTTCCAGTAAGGTACACGTGCCCCCCCTAAAGACTGAGATCTTAACGACCTCACACCTTTGTTTATTTGCCACCCTGGGCGGCTACCCGGGGCTGCCTAAGGAGAGAAACAGCCTGTATGGGAGAGGCCAAGATGGGCCTACCTAAGTCCCCAATCCAAATCTATACACATCTCTCCTTCAGTCAACCCAAAAGCCCTGCGAATCAGGCATTTGTTCCTGTTCAGAAAGGAAACAAACTATTCCTTTCATCCATTCATATTCCAATGAGGAGATGGTGTGGGGAAATGAAGACAATGAGGCAGGTTCAGTTTCCACTTTAAATTTATGAGGATAAGCACCTTGTTTTCATGTTTGTGCTTAGTGCGATTTGGGCTTTTTTTTACCCCCCCTCTTTCAGCATATGCCATTATGGCAGATACGACTTTCCTGTTTACCACGGTGTAGTGTAACGCCTGGATGTGCCAATGCAGGAGCTGGTACACGGTAAGTGAGAATTAGCAAGTGTATGTAAGCCACAAGCATGTTAACTGACTTCCTCCAAATCAGAACAGAGAGCCCAATTAGGCCTTTGAAGTCAATCACGGGTTGGCATTTCTTGGAAAACCAGCAAAACAATCTACTGCCTGACAGAACTACAGCAGGACGCTATGGGAGCTAAAAGCAACGGGAAAAGAGGAAAACAATCGGATGAGAATGCAATTAAAAGGCATCCCAACAAAGGATTTGGAATGAACAGAAACCAAGAGACACGAATTATCATTATTGTAATGTAAACCTATTTGGCCGCTTAGCTTTTAATGCCAAAGTACTTCCATTAAAAATTAATCACATCTGACAACTCATATAACCTTGATCTAAAAGAGGTAGTAAGTTTGCTTTTCTAAACAACACAACCAGACGGGAACCGAAATGGCCGCAGTGGGGTTTTCTTAACGTGCGCTCTTCCAAGGGCATGTTCCACCTCGATCAAAAGATTTAAAAAAAACGGGAAGGAACCAAGTGAAGGAAGAGTGACTCCCAGAAAGAGTTCCTGGCAGGTTCCCCTCAATATATTCCCTCGAAGGAGGCAATCTGGGTAAGAAGGAAAAAAGTACCGCTTCCCGAACTTAGGGAACACCTTTCTTCCAAGGATCTCAAAGCCCCGCCTTGTCAAAGATAGATCTGTTTTACAGCAAATCAATCTTAAGCTATGGAATAAGCCACGTTGTAGATGCTCTAACTTTTAGATACTTTTAAGTTCAACTGGGATCTTTCATGCGTATTTAGTGCCGTAAAGCTTACCTTGCAGGGTGTTAAAGATCGCAAAGAGGTACATGAAAGTGACGTTAACTGGTCCCCAGGCAAAGAAGGCAAAACCCCAAGTAATGCCCAGTAAAAACGTAAGGCCGGCAACACTCCTCAGGTCCTGAATACTGGTTTTTCGCTGGGCTCCCAGTTGTTTCTTCTTTTTAATGCGACAGAGCTGAACCAGGACCACAATGAACATGCTGAAGTTCAGCAAAAATATCACACAGAAATATCCCACAACCGTAATATAGAACACAGCATTGCTGTTGATCCAGCAACTGGAATTTGGGGAAAAAAAACAATGGGGAGCATATTAAAGTGCTGCAGTATGGTTCGTGGTGATACAATGAATCTCTATCATTTTACTAAAACATTTCCTAAAAGTCTAAGAGGAAAAAAAGATAAAACCACTGCTCTCCAACCACCACTTAAATCTCTAGGGAAAAAAAACTAACAGTCTATTTTAGGACACTTGGTTACTAGAAGTATTTAAAAGATATTCTTTGAAAACAGGGTTTTACTCCCTTTAAATACCAGTAGCCATTCAACTGGTTTACTAATATAACACAGCAGGTATTTCATATGTATCAGAGGCTTAGAAAATTATTTTCAAAATACTTTTTTTAGAGAAAGCAAGTGACCATGAGTAGGAGAGAGGGGGTCAGGGAGAGGCAGAGAGAAAGAAGGAGAGAGAATCTCAGGCAGGCTCCACGCTCAACGTGAAGCCCGATGTAGGGCTTGATCCCACAACAATCAGATCATGACCCGAGCTAAAATCAAGAGTGAGATGCTCAACCAACTGAGCCACCCATGCGCCCCACCAACTTCTTTTTTTAATACTTAAGTAGTAAAGTAGTAGCATGGCATTTCCAATCAGCTTATCTCATTACAGACATAGCTGTGAAGGCTGCTAGAAATGTTACAGGATTTTGTTAGGATGAGAGTCCGAGTCGAGACACTGACTAGATCCTCCACTTTCTTTGAGAATTCTGTTTTTCCAGTTCACTTCACATTCCCTCAGGGGCTTTGTACTCACAAGTCATCCGGTGAGCCGTTAGGGAATTTCCCATACGATCCAAGGCCATAGTTATTGGGAGATATAGCCAGGACAATGACCACAATCACAGCCGGTACCCCTGGAAGATGGGAAACATCAGTCACTCGTAGTTCTAATAACCAAGGTGGTGAGAAGACTAGAGATCACGTGCTATTTTCTTCGGGTAGCAGACTGGTGAGCTGTTCACCAAACCTAGTTTCTCTTCCTCTTTGGCACAGCGGGCATCTCCCAGTGTGCTTTGCAGCTAGGTGTGTGTGGCCACGTAACTAGATCTTGGTCAATGGGATATAGATGATTTGCTCCACCTCTAGGCCTGCCCCCTAAAAACTTCCTGTGAAATCCTCTACTCTCTTTTCCCCAAATTCAGGGCAACTTTAGAAGTCCTGTCTTGAGGCAGAGACTCCAGTAGCTGGGATCCTGAATAACTGCAAGGCCAGAGATCTTTCCACTCTTGCTAACCAGGGTGTGCGTGAGAAATTATGTTCTCCTGACATTTTTTGTCGGCCACAGCAGCTAGGGTTTCCCTTACCTTACACACATCTGGAATGTAATTTTGAGACTCAGGTGGCAGGCAAATGAAGGACTCCAAAACATAAACCAAATAATCAACATATTAGGGTTACCAGCAACTCCTGCCAGATCTTTTTTTTTTTTAATTTTTTAATGTTTATTTATTTTTGAGAGAGAGAGAGAGATAGGGTGCGAGCAGGAGAGGAGCAGAGAGAGGGAGACACAGAATCCGAAGCAGGCTCCAGGCTCTGAGCTGTCAGCACAGAGCCCAACACAGGGCTTAAGCCCACAAACCGCGAGATCATGACCTAAGCCGAAGCAGGAAGCTTAACCGACTGAGCCACCCAAGTGCCCCACTGGTAGATCTTTCATTATGAACCCTAAATCCCCAGTTGATCATCTGGAACCCATTGATGGACTGAGGAACAGACCTGGTTGATTTGAGGATGCTGACTGCCACTACAGCGGCTGTCTCAAAGGCCTGCTGGCACTACCACTAGGAGAAAGCAGGAGGAAAGGGCTCTTCCCAGCTTAATAATGGCATTTGGCTGGTAAGGAATCCCTCTCCTCCCCCATCCCAGCACCTCTCACTCAGGCCCCACGGACATCTCACACTCTGTGCGTACAGACCGACCTGACATCCAACCTCAAGGCTCTGGTAAATAAAAAACAATTCCTCCTCACAGGTTGGGGTGCCTGGTACAATCTAACATAATATTTCATTCAATTCTTTTATATTTGTACCTTACAGAGACACTGACATGTGATGGTTTCCTAAGCGAGACACTTTCCTAAAAATAAAATATTGGGGGTGTGGGGCTCATCCAGGACCGGGAACGCAACCTTTTGGTGTTCCACAAAGACAGAACCCATGCCCAATGTCAAAAGTAGGGACTTCTTTTTCTGGGAAGAAGTAACGTATCTTTCTGGAAAGGTGTTCTGTTATTTTTGACAAAGACCGGATGACAGGTGGGGGGACAAGGGCGGTAAATGGTTTGTAGTACTGTTGTGCAGGGGACAGCTGAAGGAATATTTCGCCTGAAAAAGAGGAGGGAGTCTGGGCGGGATGGTGGCTATAATTCAGTGGAAGGGATATGCATAAGGAATCAGGGCCAGGCTGGGCTGTTGTCAAGTTGTGTGGGTTGGGTAAATCACGTTTTCACTTTGAGCTGGTTTCTTCACCCGATGTTAATAATAACGGCCTTGTGCTAACCTCACTGGCTTCTCTTTCATGGAATCATCTGTGTGAAAATGCACTGAAAAATAGGGCATTTTTCATAATGTTATATACTACTTGTAGATTATCTACAGGGCTGTTTGGTAGGGAGGTGTTAGCTTATTATTTTTTTTGCCATAGAGAGCAAAAGAAGACGGCTGGGTGCCACCGGAGAGCCAAGGGAACTTAATGGCAAAGCGGAGTTGTAGGGCTTTAGAAGACGGTTACTGGCTGCCTTGTAAGGTATTAAAAACAAGACAATAGGCCTAAAGTTTCACTTATGCTCAGCCCCAGGTCACAAAACCGAGACTTGACTTAATTACAATTTCAGCTCTCCCAGAAATGGAATCTTAAACCAATCAATCAGGAATTGCGTTATCAGCACTAATTAGGTAATCTGCCTGATTAGACTCTTCTGTCATCCCCTAAAGGAGAAAAACCTTATAATAAGCAGCCTGCTCTTTTGCCTCACATAACTTGCTTCTTCCTGTTCCCTTCTGTCTATAAAAGTCTCTCATTTTTTACAGTTCTTTTCTAACTGCTAGACTGGATGCTGCTGATTCATGAATTATCGAAGAGAGCCGCTAAGATTTTTTAAATGCAGTCAGTTGAGGTGCACCTGGGTGGCTCAGCCGGTTAAGCATCTGAGTTTGGCTCAGGTGATGATCTCACAGTTCATGAGTTCGAGCCTTGCATCAGGCTCTGTGCTGACAGCTCACAGGCTAGAGCCTGCTTCCAATTTTGTGTCTCCCTCTCTCTCTGCCCCTCCCTGCTTGTGCTCTGTCTCTCTCTCTCAAAAATAAATAATAAAAAATTTTTTTTAAATGTAGTCAGTTTAATTTTGTTTCTTTTTTAAACAAAAATGAGCTCCCTAATAATAGAACCGTTCAAGCAGAGGTTAGATTATCTTTAGTCAAGGGTGAGTCACATTGAGGAAGCTCCTACATTTGGTGCAGAGTTGAATAAAGGAACCTTCAAGATACGTGCCGTGTCTAAGACTTTGTGACCCACCGCCAAGAGGTGACGTGATCTGAAAATTGTGTCAGGGTGGCCGTGAAGTTACATCAGGTTCTACCTGTACATTCATCTCACTCTGCTCTTCTGAGCGTAGTGTCACACGTGTGTGTAACAGCAGGGACACAGAGAACAGAGTGGGGCTAGCTGGGAGGTGGGGGACGGAGAGCTGGGCCTCATATCACCAAGCTCACCTCTTCAACGTAGTGAGCACCTTCTGCGTCCCAGCCCCAATTCTAGTTACTGGAGATACAGAGAGGATTCATTACCCTAATCTCAAAGAGTTTTATGTTCATAACCAATCCAGGGTAATATACAGGTGTTCTAGAAAGAGACTGGACAAGGTTACCCTTTGGGCAGTGCCATGTATAAGGACACTAAACCTGTTTTATTTTATTTTTAAAATTTTTTAATGTCTTATTTATTTCTGAGAGAGAGAGAGAGAGAGAGAGAGCGAGAGAGAGAGAGACAGCGTGAGCAGGGGAGAGTCAGAGAGAGAGAGGGAGATACAGAATCTGAAGACAGGCTCCAGGCTCCGAGCTAGCTGTCAGCACAGAGCTCGACACGGGGCTCAAACCCATGAACCCTGCGATCATGACCTGAGCCAAAGTCAGACACTTAACTGACTGAGCCCCCTGGAGCCCCCAACGCTGCTTTAGAAACTTGCCAAGGGTGACCTGCTTTATCACTGTATCTGATGAAAAATCAAAATACTGGAGAAAAAACAGAGAAAACCCAGGCAATGTGAAAGCAAAATTATACGCACCCCAACCAACAACACAGAATTTGAGGATGTATTTTCGGATGTAAGTATTAAACACTTTCACGAGGGCCAAGTACATATGGAATGCTTCCAGGCCCATCCATGTGAATGAGACCAAAAGAAAATAGTGCAGAAATACAGCCACTGAGATGCAGAGGCCTCGCATGTCATACAGAGCAATCCATGAGTCCAAGAGGAACACCAGGTTCAGCAGCAGCAGGGCTGCACACAGCTGGAGGAGGATTCTGGAAGGGTAGTCCCTCCGAATCTTTCTAAATGGAAAGGAAAAGGAAAGAATTAGCATCGCATTCTGAGAGCCCTTACGTGAGCATATCTAAGAAATTTATGTTTATTCTTGGGTCAACATCTAAATGCATACATTTCTTCTCTGTGTGAGTGGGAGGGGCAGGCATTAACATCAACAACCATAACAACAACAACAAAATCAAAATAGAAGATCCTTGGTCGTCACAATATGGAAAATTTGTATTTATATTTCTGTGGAATCTTTTACACGCTGACTGTTGACCCATCCTTTTAAATAACTTGTAGTAGAATCTACCGAGCACCCACCGTCATTTCTCCCAAACTATTTCTAGAAGCACTGCTGTTGCGTCTCATACAATAGGCTCCTATGCTCAGATCTTCACAGCATAGCCAGGCTCCCCTATTGTCTTATGTCACTAATTAAAATGAGATCATAGAAAGAAGAGTTTAAACTATAGCTAAGTGAAACAGGCATAGGAAATTATAGCTAATTGATAACATGTACACATCTATGTGTGTGAAATTAGACCTGGTGAAATCATTCTGAGTAATGGCTGGCCTTATGGTAATTTAGCCTCATTAATCATATTTCCAAAAGCTGTAATCACAGCTGGACGCAAAGTTCAGCACTGAAAGTAAATTTGTGCGTTTCCTGATCAGTGTCCCAAATCTAAATCCCAGAATGTACATACTGTTTAATTCCGTTAATGTGATAAAAGTGCCCATTTTCTTTTTTACCAACAGAATTTGTTGGGAAACCCCACTCCTCCCCAAAGTGACCAAAAGGACCCTTCAGGTAAGCCAAGGAGATACTATTTTTTTTTTTTATGCGCAGAAACCCTAGTTTTTTTTTTTTTATTCCTTTTATTTTTATTTTTATTTTTTTTTTACAAATAGTTTATTGTCAAATTAGTTTCTACATAACACTCAGTGCTCATCCCCAAAGTGCCCTCCTTCATGCCCATTCCCCCTTCCCCCCCACATCCATCAGTCCTCAGTTTTTGTCAGCATTCAAGAGTCTCTCATGGTTTGCCTCTCTCCCTTTCCCCCACCATTTCCGCCAAGAAGGAGATACTATTATTTGGAATGTCATTCTTGCTTTTACAAACTGAACTCGTGGAATATCTGTATTTTTCAGTGAGGCTTTACACCTTTTAGTCTTCTTCATCCTCACACCTGCTCATGTTTTCCATCTTTTGGGTTTGTTCCATGTAACTTCGAAATTTAATAAATTAAGCATAGCTCTTATGTTGTACACGAAGCTATGGTCTATATCAGAGTATAAGCTCTTAGGTCTCAAGGTTTGCATTCATCTTCCATGTCACATGTAATGAAATGCTAGCTACGAGGCATCATTCTAGGGTACGAAGATGATTAAGATAAAACTCCTGCCTTCAGCAAGTGCACAGACTACTAGAAGGAAGTGAGTATGTTAACCAAAATGTCCCATGACGTTTAGCATATAGATGGCACTACTAGACAGTATACAGGATGAGGTAGGCCAAGAAGCGCACTTAATTAATACATGTTGGCATGGAGGGGAGTACTGCGTCTTATAATCCAAGATTCCAGTGTTGGATACTCACTCAAAGGCTAAGTAGGTTACAAGAGTAACTGACAGAAAAATTGATGAGAGCCCACAACCAATATATGTGATAAACGTCAGAGCCATCATCTGAGTGGGGGGCAAGGATGTTCGCGATAGGTCCTGGAAAATAAAATACTGCTTTCAAGACCAAGTGTTTTAAAGAAATAAAAGAGCCAAGATTTACAGTTATTGAGTATTCTACATGTTCATCCATAGTTCATTCAACAAATCTACCACGGAGATGCGATTATTATCATCAGGTAAAACTAACGAAACTGAGTCCCAGAGAGGTTCAATAATTGGCCCAAGGTCACGTAACTATGAAATGGAGGAGTCAGGATCTGAATTCTGGTCTGGCTGACTCCAAAGCCCATACACTTGATCAGTACATTACGATGCGCTGGAAAAGCACAGGGATAGGAGCTGAAGACTTGAATGTGGCTTCAGACTTATATTTCTTAGTTCTGTGACTGTGGACAGTCGCCGAACAAATGAGTCTTATTTCTAACTTCTCACAATGACGATAGCACTACCCCATTCCACCTATCTTGCAGGACTGCTGGAAGAGAGTACGGGAGATAATTTGTGTCAAAGTGTTTTAGGAAAATTTTAAAGTGCAATGCAAACGACACAATGTTTCTTACCCATTTTAATCTGAGTCCCCTAGTCCTCGCTATTCAAAACAGAAATACTTGTGTGTAGAAATAGGCTGGAAAAAAATACTTCCATGTTCAAGTATTTTCTTTCAAGGGCATTTGCTTATTGGAAGAGCAATTTCATTAGTCTCTGACTTGGCCACAATGTCGTATTTGCTGATCAACGTCATCCATCACATTAGACATCATGGCATGATGCCAGGCTACCCTCAGACCCAGAATCTAAGGCCAGATGGTGTGGGGTGATTACCAGTAGGACGCCAAAGCTTGTAAGGTGGCTGCAGGTACAGATGGTTTCATTCGGTTTCCTGTCTTTCACAGAGCAGCCATCGTGTGACCAGCCTCCTCTGCCACCTGTTGGCATTGGGAAGAGTATCTGTCCTATCAGCAAGGCCGGGGCGTCAATGGGGCCCCATCGCTCCTGTCCCTCTCTTCCTCCCTCTGACCCTGCCCACTCAAGGCTGAAACAGTTATGACTGGAACCTACCATTTCTGCCCAAGTCCCAAAATACACACCTCACTGTTAAGTCATCCTGCAGCGGAAAGATAAATTACAATTAGTTTACTGAACTGAAAAAACCAAGAAAGGAATTGGAAAAAAATATGAATTTATTTCAGAATCTCATTCTTGATTTTTGGAGAATGCCAATTTTATTCTAGTCCCTAGAAGCCAGTGAGTCTCATATAGGTCAGCGCTTCTCAAGCTCAGCAACTGTACAAGGAATCACCTTGAGGCCTTGCTAAAATGCACATTCTGATTCAGGGGGCCAGGGGGGCGCCTAAGAGATGGCACTTCTAGCAAGCTCTCAGGTGACATCGATGGTACAGGTCTGCAGACCACACTCTGAATAGTGAGGCCATCGATAATGCTCAATCTGACTTGAAATGAGAGATGTTTTCTCTTTGGAGCCGAGAATCAGACCTGTAGCCACAGATCTAAATGCACTAAAATTGGGCAATGGATAATAGCTGGCTTTTGCACTGCTCCTTCTTGGAAATTCAGTGGCCGGTTACCAGGCATGCTAAGACCCAGCAGAGTGACTGTGTTATTCTAGTCTTCCACACTGCCTTGACCAAGTTTGAGGCTCTGCTGGGTCTCTTTTTGTCAGGCCAACTCTTACAGACACAGCTGACACAAACGTATCCGGTCAATGAACAGACCAGACGGGTCTCTCCCACCTGGCTCGGATCGATGTGCCTTAATGTAACTGTCACATTTCTTGTCAAGTTCTTGACCGTCAGGTTTGCAACACTGGATGATATGACGTAGCTGATCAGAGAGAGGTTCTCCAGGGCAGGGTCCTAGCACACCAAACAATTAACAAGATGGCAGGAGTAAAAATGAAATGTCATCAGAGAATTTTAGAGCTGGAAGAGACCCTAAAGACCACTTGGTCCACACTGTTTGTTCTACAATCTAGGTGAGAAATTGAGGGTCACGACATCATGTGACCTTAGAAAGAGCTTGTCTGGGGCACCTGGGTGGCTCAGTTGGTTAAGTGTCCGACTCTTGGTTTCAACTCAAGTCATGATCTCATGGTTCATGGGATCAAGCCCCGTGTTGGGCCCCACGCTGACAGTGCAGAGCCTGCTTGGGATTCTCTCTCACTCCCTCCTCTCCCTCACTCTCTGCCCCTCCTCTGCTTGTGTATGTGTGCGTGCTCGCTCGCTCGCTCTCTCTCTCTCTCTCAAAATAAGTAAACTTAAAAACAAAACCAGAGCTTGTTCCACTCTACAATACTCTAAATACTGAGTTAAATTTCACAGGCTGACACAATGAGGTCCTCATGAATTGTACAGGGAATATAACAGTAAGCCACTTAAACCATGTGTTCCTGAGCAAGTTAGCCTCTCTGTGTTTCCATGTTCTCATCTATAAAATTGGGATAATAATTTAATAGTTCCTCCCTCACAAGGTTGTTGAGAGGATTAAAGTGAACATATCTAAGTGCTCAGTATAGTGCTCTGCAATTGGTAAATGCAGTATGTGAGTGTCTGTCGTTGTTATTTATCATTACTGGTATCACTAGGTCCTCCTTACAAACACACTGCAGCTTTCAGTAGTTCATTTGACTGACAGCAGATGTATGAATGTGTGAGAATTAAAAGAAATGAAACTGCTGCACTCCAAGATAAAACCTAAAGCAAAAGCAGTTGGCATGATTTTACCTGAAACAGGGCAGGCGTTTCAAAGAAGTTGAACTGAACCCTGGAAGCCAGCTCCACGTCATTAGCTGGTAAATTACCCATCAGTGATGAAGGCAGAGTTATAATGCCAATACTGTTCTCAGGAGCCTGAGGTTCCAGAGAAACCTGAAAATCAAGTAAATGATACCAAAAATGCCTGGGGCTAGTATAATGAAGAGGTGGACAACACGAAAACTAATTAAGACGGAGGATCCTGTACAGGCATGTATTTGTGGGGCCTCTGTAAGATTGGTTGTTCTCGTGTCTCTGATTGTTATGAAATTGGAGAGGATCGGTAGTAGGGTGATGAGGCCTCAGAGCAGGAAAGGAAACACTTGAAGGATACACAGAAATGATCATAAAGTGCAGGATATTACTGGACACCTCACCCCACCTGAGCAATGCTACCCTCCCCCCCCCACCCCCGCAAAACTTCCACGATCTAGCTGCTCAAGGGTTGACATTGGGCACAAAGCCCTCTGAGATCATGCTCCAGCAAAGACCAGTGTCCTTTTTCTGATTCTGTGGTACCTCACTGTTCTAGATGTTAAATACTTTGAGTATCGCCCCTTATTCTAAGCAGTAATTGCCTCCGTCGCGGTGACTACCATTGTATAAAAGCAAAGGTTTATTCACAATTGATTAGAATGTACCTGAAGATTTGCACGGTCTTGGGCAGCAAAGGTAGTTGTGTTGAAATTACTAGCATTCACTCTCATCACCGCCAGAGCCAAAGAAGGGGAGGTTAGAGTTATGGTCTTGGTTGAAAAATTCAGCTGTAAGCCAATGTCATCCACTATTTTTAGCAATCTGCAAAGATAAGTGGTAGTTCAAATTCGGCACCCCCACTCCATCTTCCCCATTCTAAGCTGAATATGCAGTAGCAATTTAACAAGTCATTACGAACCTCTTCAGTGGGAGACAAATACTTGGCTATAATTAATCCTGATAAGAAGTATTCTCACGGTTAGAGGGTCTCCTCTAGGACCACATCAGTTCGCGAAGTCATACCTTTGGGCCACAGGTGCCAGCAAGGCAGGTGGGAAATGAAGGAGTTTGCTGACATGGTTTATCATTTCTCCCGCGAGGTTAGGCTCCAAGCTGCCCAAGGACAGAGCCTTCTCCATCTGGGACACTTGGTTCTCAAGATCAGAATCACTGCTGCTGCCGGTGTAAACAATTTCTGTAACCAAAAGCCAAATCACTTTAAGAAAACATAACAGAAAAAATCACTAATAAAGAAACACACATAGACTCTATGACCTGGCAAACGTACGCCTAGGTATTTGCCCCAGGGAAATGAAAACCTATCTTAAGAAGACTTGATCATGAATGTTTATAGGGACCTTTTTCCTAATAGTCCCAAACTGGAAACAACTCAAACGTCTATCAAGTGAAGAAGGGATAAACCGTGATCCATCCATATAATGGACAATTTTTCGGTAATTAAAAGGTAGGAGCTACTTGCAACAACATGGATGGATCTCCAGTTCTCCAAGGTAATATGTTAACAGAAAGAAGCCAGACTCAACGGGCTACATATTGCATGATTCTCTTCATATGACATTTTAGAAAAATCAAAAGTATAGGAAAAACAAAACAGATCAATGGTGGCCGGGGGCTGTGGATAGTGGATAGGAATGGACTATAAAGGAACACAAGGGAACTTTGGGGAAGGTGGTTGGGTGGCTGTTGGGTGCTTAATCTGACCTCATAGAAAAATAAAAATTTCATCTATCCATAGATCTGGATCAATTTTATTGTATGTAAATTATCCTTCAAGAAACCTGAAAGGGGTGCCTGGCTGGTTCAGTCGGTGGAGCATATGACTCTTGATTTGGGGTTTGTGAGTTCGAGTCACTAGATGTAGAGATCACTTAAAAACAAAATCTTTAAAAAAAAAACCAAAACCTAGCTGAACAAAATGTAAAAGCACATCAGTGTATTTAGCGTATATTTGTAAAAATATAAATATACTTGTTTTTCATTTCTATCATGTGTACAGGATTTTACATGGATAACTAGAAGCTCTTTTTGCAAAAAAGAGACTATTACGAAATTAGTAGCTCGATGACCAGCTGTAAGTTGGTTTTTAATAGTGTTTTTAATTGGGAAACAACGATACAAACCTGTCTAGCAATGAAAAAGTCTCTTAATTCCACCACCTAACATCCAATTTCTTATTTTGCATATTACCTCCTTATCTCCGTCCAGGTGTTACAACATACTGTTATAAACAGAGTGTAGCAACTCTTCACTGTGTTCTTTTCACTTCACTCCAGACTTGGAAAATGCCCCCAAGCTTCCATTGAGCTGTTTGTAGGCGCAGCCGCAGTCAGTGAGCTCAGGTGACTTACCGTATTTCGTTACTCCTATCTACTTCTTAGCTACCGAGTAATTTGCCGACACGTCTTTTATATGTATGTTACTTGGCTTCTGTTGCCTTGCTGGCTGAAACCCCAGTCCCGCGGCCCCCCGCCCCCGCCCCCCAGCAGCACAGGCATAGCTGGTCACGTTGCTGATCTTCCTGGGGAGGCGGTTAGGTTAATTCTAATGGTCCCTAGGGGACGGCTTTGCAAAGGTGGGCAGTTTCGGCCCAAGCTAACTAACTTACTAAAGCTCCAGTGATTTTATGCTTCGGTCTAAAATGCCATATTTATGAAAACAAATTGAAAGAGCAGTGCAAATTCAAAGAAATAGCAAGTCCCTCGGCAGATCTGGCAGAAGCTTCCAATTTCCCTGACGCTCACATTCGCGCTGTGGGGGAGGAGGCAGAGACCACCAGCTCTGCTCCAATCTCCTATCACCAAGAAGTTGGTTTCGCCTCCTGCTCTCCCAAAATCTAGAGGACAGTCTGCTTTTTACCTTCTGAATTGAGCCTTCAGAGCATCCAGAATTCTCCCTGGCGTCTTTCGCTCTTGCCTTTAGGTCTTTACCCCTAAGCCTACTTTGTATATGGGGAGTCCTCTGCAGTTTCCAGGCACCTCACGTAAAACATCACCGCAAACATAGCGGGGTAAGTGTGATTGTTTCCATCTTCAAGTCGCCCAGGCTGCGTCAGGAGGGGCTAAATGGCTTATCCCAGATCACAGTGTCTGTAAGGGCGCCTGCAGACCCACAGCTGGGTCTTCTGAATGTTTATCCCCTCACGGCATGCTGGGTTCAGTCCTCCATCTGTCGCTCTGTGATTGACTTTCAAGAATGCGAAGTTTTTCTTTTGTTATCTTTCTAAATGGAATGACTGAAAGTGATTTAAAAAAGTTAATGTGTAGAACGCATTAAAAAAGTGTTTAAGTGGTTAAAAAAAGATAATGTGTAGAACAACTGCTAAATGGAGTGACTGAATTTAATAGTTCAAAAGTTTTCTCTTTGCAATGTTGAAAACGGTGACCTAATAACCCTTTCCTAGGAGAAAGAAACCTGTAAAATAAGTCATCTCAATAGAATATGCTACGGTCTATTTGCCTCAGAGCGATTTCTCCACTCCCTTGGTCAAAACAATCTAACTCGGCCACTTCTATGTTCTATGAAAGCCTGCAGGAAAGCTCTGGACACCAAGCAGACATCGTAAACAGAAAAGTTCAGCATGGTCTTATTACAGATCTCTTGATTTGGCAGGCTGGCATCTGCCAGATCGTAATGAATGTAGCAGCAGCTTGACTCCTGATATTTACCTGTCTTCTCAGGAGGTGTGCTGGTCGTGATGAAACTCTTGGGTACAGACGTGGTAGGAGAGGAAAGTGAGGATGTCACAGGTGGCAGGGTGTGGGAGAGATCAGTTTGGGGCAGAGGGGAAGAGACAGTTCCGGATTTGGGGGGCATATCAGCGGCAGGGCTGGAAGCAACGAGAGCCGTAGGCTGGGGAGAAGGAAGGGGAGTCACTCGTGTTGGAGAGGCAGGGTGCTGGGTTACAGGTGGATGATTTAGAGGTTCAGCAAAAGAGAAGGCACTGGAGACCTGGGCCAGGATGGTGGCCTGAGGAGCAACTGGCATGGAATCGCTAGGAGAAAATGGTGGGCCGTCTGGATGACCAGCCAGACATACAACAGGATCCTGCAGGTCGCTAAAGGAAAGAATCAGAGAGATGCACGTGAGACACGAATGAGTTCCAGAGAGGCTCATCTCCTCTGGCCATCATCGCACACCAGCCAGGCGACCTGGCAACATCAGGGACCAGCCACGCCCGGCCTCTGCCACTGCACACCTTCTGTGGCCTTGCCACTGGCCCCCTGCTCCTGCCCACTTCTACCACTTCCTCCCCGGGAGAGGAATTAGCCAGGACGGATGCTCTTTTATGAATTCCCAGTTCTGGCATACTCACTCACCCCTGCTCTCGGGCTCTTGCCCCTTATCCCTTACTACTCAGTTGAGGACATCTTGTAACACTTCTATGTGCTCCTAGGGGAGGGGAGTCATTAAATGCTCTTACCCAACTGCGGTTTTCATATATTAGGAATCTGTCTTTTATGGTTTTTTAGATTTTACAAAAATGTACTCTCCAAAAAGTAGAACTGCATGCCCAGACTGTTCCTAACATACTGAAAAGTTTTCTAAAAACTTATATGCCAAAATATAATTTTCCTTTGGTGTTCCAATCCACATCGACAACACTGGCTCATCATTTTTAGAACTGATTTGACTTTAAAGCTAAAGCATGTCCATTTCAACACTATGTGTGTCCTTAAGAGATTCACAAAGTCTTGTGTCAACTCAATGTTAACATGTGGTACAAAAGGGCATGACATAAATTGAAAAGCAGCTCTAAGTTTATCAATACCAATAAAATGTTCTTCAAATCTTTCCTTAGTTTTTGTGAAGTACATAATTCGGTCAATTACAACTACAATCTTCTGGGTATTGACCCATTATTAGAAAAATGTGGAAAAATCATTATTATTGATTTGGACAATGGAATTTCTTTCAGCAAATTCTCATATTAGTCTTAGTGAGTCACAAGTGAGCCTTTCCTTTCCAGGAAACCTCAAATTTAGCTCACTCATATGCAGTGTGATATTGGCTGGGATAGGCAAACCACAGTGCCATTTTTTTTCTTCGACTTACTAAATTTTCTTTCAAGAAGATCTTGAAGTGAGGTTAATAACACATAAATTTTTGTGAAACCGATGAACATAGGAATCTGTCTGAATCGATTTTACACTGCTATAGTCTGGCATGATGCTCACTGGCACATAGTTTAGCACATAGGTAGTGAGCAGGAAATATTTGTTGAATGAAAAAAATGAATGAAGCTAGGGCCATAGAGGCCCCCAGCTTGTAAATCAGCTATGCCTTCAATGTTGCTTTAGCCCAGTGGTTTTCAACCTAGGCTGTGTGTGAGAATAACCCCGAGGACTTTTAAAAACTAGAGCGATTTCTGTGGCCTATTCCTCAGTGTGTGTTTCAGCTGGTCCTGGCATGGGGGTGAGGATCCCAGGCCCATATATTTTCATGGCCCGGAAGGTTGAGAAGAACTCATCTTCTATCAACATCCACCAGTCTTGGGGTGGGAGGAAGAGCAACTAGAGGGGGCAGCAAACTACTACCCAGGGAAACCTAGGATCCAGTTTTAACTGATGACTTAAGAGCACCAACCAGAAGATGTTCTTAGAGCTTCCCTTGGGAGAGAGGAAGAAGGTATACTGGGTTGAGGAACCTGAAGCAAGTCACACCCAGAAAAAGAAATGCGGGCTCGGTGAGTCTGGCCAGACTTCTGGCAAAGGCCTCTCTCCACAGCCTGAAGTTCAGGATACCCGTGTGAACAAAGGGGTGCCAGGTAGTCAGAAAGGCCTTGGCCGAGCCTCTCTCGTTACTCTTGTGGGCAATCCACCCAACTTCTCTGAGACTCTGTTCTCTGACTCATATGCCACAGCAACCCATTGGGTCAAGTCATGGCAAAGGTGTAAATTAAATTCCCTTCTTATTTCTGGGGGTATGTGGCAATCAAACCCCCAAGCATAGGGATCTCACGCATGGGGCTCCACCACGAAGAGACTACCCTCTGTCTGATCCTCCTGGCAAGCCTGTGATTCGGAGCCCTCCATCCATTGGTAGAGGTGCACAGGGAGTGGCAGAACAGTTGGCAATGCCAACTATACATTAGAAAAACCTCAGAGCACTTTAGCACCAGTGCTGGAGCTCATGCCCAAGACCAAATGAACTGGAATCTGGGGTGGGAACAGGTATCCATATTCATTTCAACATGCTTCTTCCCTAAGGTGTAGCCTATGTACAGTAGAGTGTTCTAATCTTACATTTAGAGCTTAAAGAATTTTTATATGTGTATACATCTACATCATCACCACCCAGATCAAAACATAGTATTTCCAGCACCCAAGAAGACCACTTTGACACATCAATAGGTTTTAAAGGGCCCAAGGTGTTTGCAGTGTGCAGCCAATCTTAAGAAAGACCCTGAGCCATCACCTAATTCTAGCCTACTGGTTCTCACACTTGGCTGCACATTAGAATCACTGCACCCAGGAACTTTGAGAAATATAGAAGCCTGGGCTACACCCCAGACCAATGACATCACCATCTCTGAGGGTGAGTGAGAGGCAGGCATTGGTGTTTTTAAAACTCCACTACTCAAAGTGGGGTCCATGAACCAGCAGCACTGGCTTCACCTGGGTACAGCACCAGAAATACAGAATCTCAGGCCTTTTCCAGACCTGCCAGATCCAAATGTTAACAAGACTCCCTGTGACTGATATGCACAGTAACCTTTGGGAGGTGCTGATAGGACTTACTTCCTCGTTTTACAAAGAAGGAACCTGAGACTTATTTCTATTTATAAAGAAGCAACAGCTGGATACACAACTAGTTGATGACAGAGCCCTAGCCAGACACTGAGTTCATACTCTGCCTGCTTTTCTGTGTCTGGCTTCTTTTTCCTAACAGCTCTTTGAATAAGCAGCCATCAGAGGTCTGTGGGACCACCTCAAAAGAGCTATGATACCTTCATCTGATCTAATACTTCTAGAAATTCCATCTCCCTAATGGGCCTCAACCCTCCAGGTAATGGGGCATGTTAAACCTAAAACTTAAATCCTATTTACTTTTTATTACAGAAAATGCTATGAATCCGAAAGTCCTTCAGCTATTCCTCGAGGTCCAATGTTTAACATATCCCAGGAATATAGCCTACACAGGGCAGAAAGGCTATAGTTAGCCTTCTGTCCCATATAAGAAGCTTTACTTTGAAAAACGTATGTCCTTTTGTTCAAACACAGATTTTACCTGATTGTAATAAAGTATAGAAAATGCTGCAAAGAAAAAAAAGGGAAAAGAAAACAAAATACTGCCTATAATGGCAGTAGGCAGGCCAATTACTGGGAATCCCTGTGAGTATTTTCATTCATTCACTCCCTAGTTTTACCTACGTATATTTCTATAATCTGTGATCACGTCATCCATGACTTTGAGGTCATCTCCTATTTTGGAGCATCTGACTCTCAGTTTCCCTCCATCGATGTGGTGAATTTAAGGCAGTGATTCTCAACGTTGGTTGCACATTAGAATCACCAAGAGGGCTTTTAAAAACCTTAATGCCTAGGCTGTGTCCCAGACAAATTAAATCAGAATCGCTGAGGGTGACAGACTGGAAATAAAGATTTAAAAAAAAAAAAAAAAAGTATAGGAGGATTAGGAGGAACTTGACGGAGGAACAAGCGGGAGAAGAAGGGCGGAAATGGTGGGGGAAAGGGAGAGAGGCAAACCATGAGAGACTCTTGAATGCTGACAAAAACTGAGGACTGATGGATGTGGGGGGGAGGGGAGGATGGGCATGGAGGAGGGCACTTTGGGGATGAGCACTGAGTGTTATGTAGAAACTAATTTGACAATAAACTATTTGTAAAAAAAAAAAAAAAGTTTAATGGAATTAATTTTAGGCTTATAGAAACACTGCAAAAATAACACAGTTCCATATCCCCCTAACCCAGTTTCCCCCAATGTTAACATCTAACGTCTGGAATTGGGACCAAATAGCTATCAACGTTTAGCATATTACCAAAATGGCATCTCACATCACTGAGAAAAAGATTTTTTAATAAATGGGTGCAGGATCACTGGCTAGACAGTTTAGAAAATATTAATGTAAAAAAAAATACCATATAAATACTAGAAAAAATCAAGGGTGAATTCCCATTAAACCCGGGTGTAGACAAAGGCTTTCTAACGAAGACTCCAAATCCACAGGCAATAAAAGAAAAGACTGGTAAATTTAGCTACATTTAAAAAAATGTAATTTGCGTGACAAAAACATAAAGCAAAGTCAAAAGATAGCTGACAAACTAGAAGAAAATATTTGCAACATATACCACAAAAGGTATTAATATCCCTAATATAAACAAGGACTTTTAAAAACTGATCAAATATTCAGTAGAAAAAGAAGGAAAAGACAAACACACAATTAACAAGAAAGATACAAAAATGACCCCCAAATGCATGAAAAATGTTCAACCAGTCCTCATAAGAGAAGTGCAGATTGAAAATAACACTGAGATACTCTTTCTCAACTACCACACTGGCAAAATTTAAAAATATGAGGACATTCAGTTGGTGAGGTTTGAGGGTGGTGGTGGTATCAGAGTATTTATAATACTCCCCCGGTGATTTTAACTTGTAACCAAGATTGCAAACCATTGTTTCAAGGTAATGGTCCGAATGGAAATTTGATATAACAGAAAACTGCATTTTTGCCTAAAACTGAAAGCCCTTTCTCACTGTTGACATTCCAAAATTCCTTAGCCAGCATGGTGATTAAATACTGTTGTTGTTGTTGTTGTGATTATTATTCTTACTATTACTTTTAGGAACAGGCTCAGCACATCTGCTACATACCACTGCAGCTTTTCTAACTCCTCTGGGGAGGAAGGGCAGGGTGTCCGGACAGCACAGCAGCACTGCTCTGGATGAGGCAACAGAAAAGACAGATGAAAATACATGGTCAAGAACAAGGCAAGATAGAAGCTCAGACCCACAAGTATTAACATTCCTACACTGACAACATTTTAAAGAGCATTTGTCTAAAACATGAGAAAATAAACTAGATACCATTATATTGACAATGGTCTGTACATAGTAGGTGCTCAGAAATATTTGCCGAGTGAATAATTCAGGGGCGGTTATACACCTGCAATATCAGTGGCTCTTCAGCAGCTTCTAAGAGTTTGGAAGTAAATCTATCAGATCAGCAAATGACCACAAACACTACAAAGAGAAGTCCCCTTCTCTCGGTAGGGTTTGTTCTATCATGTTGTCAAATACAGAATACTGAAACTTTACTGAGAAAGCAGGAAAAACCACCTTTTAGAGCTCTCTGAATACTGCCCAAGAGGCATGTTTAAATGTATTGATTATATTTTCAGTTTTACATAGAACACATCAGAGTCACATGAAAACGAGCACAGCAATAAAGATAGAGATAACTTACCCATCGGTCGAATCTTTACTTTTTTCAAAGCCACCATTACAGCACATATGTTCATTGTTTTATTCATTTTTATTGTGAATGTGCAATTTAATGTGCTGTAAAGAGAAATATATATAATCAGAACGTTATTAAGTTGGAAACATATCTACATATATGTAAACGCTTTTTCAAACTTGAGAGTGAGAAAAGGAGGCACTCATGCTAACTTGCAATGTCAGCCCAGTAAGCTTGTGAACACCCACGACTTTCTATCATGAGATATTTATAGAGGTTTACATTCACAGAGAGTGCAAACCAGAGACCGTCTGACCGCACACAGCTGCTAACTCATTCTGCCTGTCGGAACTATGAACTGGCAAAGACAAGCATCTTAACATCTAGTCTTAACCCCAGCTGGCTACTTGCCTAGTATCTGTAAGGCATTGGAATTTCCATCACGGGAGCCCTTTCACATACCAGCCTAGATGAACATCAAGGTCTCTTAAATCCAAAATCTCTCTGGCAATTCAATCTAGATTATCAGCTAACTAGCAATTTAAGACATTATCACTGTTTTTTAAACTTCAGTCTTGGTTTACACGAAAAAATGTTAATGTTGCAAATAATAAAAAAGTGGTTAAGTGAAATGAACTAAGTATGTACAGTGGATAGAGATTCAATCTATAATTTCATGGAAGAATTGCCATTATTTGTACCAATGAATAGCTTCATGAGCAGAAATGGTCATTTTCTAGGACTTTTTCTCTCACAGAATGCTCGGAATTCAGGTAGCAAGATTACTGACCTATATAAGCCATTCGCTTATGCAGCCAAGAGAGCCAAAGGACACAATTTAAAATGATCATCTGTGCAACGTCAAATAATTGTCAGGCAATCTCAGATTCATCACGGCACACACCTTTTAATTTCTTTTCTCTTTCTTTTCCATCGTTTCCTTCCCTCTCTCTCTCCTTCTCCCAAGCCTGTATTCTGTTCCTTCTCTGTCTGGGCTTCACTAGACTGGACCACTGGGAGCCATTTCTTGGTTATATTGGTGGCCCTTGGGGCTAAGGACACTGATGACCCTTAGCGTCACAGAACCACAGGCAAATGGCCCAATACCACTCACCCCTCCCTCTGTGATTCATAGTGAAATGTGAAGATGGATGTGACAGAAGGATGAGAGTTTCAAAGAATAAAAACATATATTCAAAATGTCATTAATATGTATTTATTTAAGAGGAACACATGTAAATTTGCAACCTAAGACTCCTCAATACTTTCTCATGAGTAGAGAAATAATATGTACAAAAGTATTAAAAATGACTGACCTTTGGGCCTCGGCTGTAGCACACACTATGAAATAAGTCTGAAACAAACAAATATATATATATATATTTGTTACTCTGACTGTTGAGAATGTCAGATAAAACAACCCAGGAATAATCACAGCATCACAGAATCTTAGAACCACAATAACCCCTAAGGATCGTCCAGTTCACATTTCTATCAAATTCCTGACATGTCATCAAAGCTATTCGGTGCATAAAGGCTCTGCTTGCATACTTCTACTGTCAGGGAACTCACTACCACACAAGCGAGCTCATTCTGGAGCCTTCATTTTAAGAAACATTTGGTTTTACATGAAGGAAAATCTACCCCCTTGTAACATCCATCCACTGCGCCCAGTTCTGATTTCCAGAGTAATGGAACTAGTCTACTTGGTCTCTTTTACATGACAGATTTGGAGAAGTTGAATACATTTCTCCTCAAGAATGCAGAACTCCATGCTTTCCTCCAAATATAACAGTAATTACAAACAAGGTATAGGATGTACTGTGATTACCTCACTTAAGGTTTGCAGGGTTTTGTTTAGCTCTGATCGTCTGTTAATAAAATGAGAGAAAATGACATGAAGGAGATCACTGGTGATGTGAAATTCAAAACAAGTTAGATTTTTAGCAATTAAACTAAGCTTATGGTATTTATTGCTTGCAGCGTTCACTTTGAAGTAACACTAGGTATAATGAGAGATTTCTGTGTGAGAAAAATTAATTATTTCTATGGCAAGAGAAACTGACCCGACAGAAGCTGTAGGAGTTTTAGCCACCAGCAAGATATAAATTATGGTTAACAGTCTTGTTACTCATTAGGCAGCTGCTTCTGGCAGAGGCCCAGAGAAAGAACTGGCCCGAGGGCAAATTTCTGAAAGGGCTCCACCACTCATCATAGGGCCCTGCGACCGCACTTCTCATTTATTCCCTCATTTCTTCCTTGTTCCCCCTCTACCTGCCCTCTAGCATTCTCCAGCACTCCCTTCCCTCCTCTCTTCTTCCAGAATTTCCCTCTTTCCTCTCCCGCCATCCCACTCAACAACACTTTTATTTCTTCAATGTGGAAGAGCTTCATGGGAAGTTAGGATAACTTAGATACTGAAAACATCCTTTGGTACCCTGGACATGTCACATTCATTGTAGTGATTGTGCTGTATTGTTACTTGTTTGCATCCTAGGTCTAATTCATCAGACTCTACATTTCTGGTTCTAAAAATGGGCCTTATGCTGAAACCACCAGGGGAGCATTCAAAAATACCAGTGTCTGCATCTCAGCCCCCAAATACAGATTTAATTGTTATAGACTGTGCCTGGGCATCAGGATTTAAAAAAAATTTTTTTTAATGTTTTATTTTTTATTTATTTCTAGGAGAGAGAGAGAGAGACAGCGTGAGCAGGGGAGGGTCAGAGAGAGAGGGAGTCACAGACTGAAACAGGCTCCAGGCTCTGAGCTGGCAGTCAGCACAGAGCCCGACGCGGGGCTCGAACCCACGAACCGCGAGATCATGACCTAAGCGAAAGTCGGACGCTTAACCGACTAAGCCACCCAGGCGCCCCTAAAAAAATTTTTTTAACATTTATTTATTTTGAGGGACAGAGCATGAGTGAAGGAGAGACAGAGAGATGCAGAATCCGAAGCAGGCTCCAGGCTCCGTACTTTCAGCACAGAGTCCGACGTGGGGCTCAAACCCACGAACAGCGAGATCATGACCTGAACCGAAGTCAGACCCTTAACCGACTGAGCCACCCAGGTGTCCCATCGGGAATTTTTAAAAGCTCCCCAGGTGATTTTAGTATGCAGCCAAGGTAGAGAACCATTGTTCTAGAACCAGTTTTCCATCATCAGAGTTGAGTTTATCCCCAAGGCCAAACACACGCTCAACAAATGCTTCATGGCTTTAGATGAACTCCTCTATATGTCAAGTCCAGTCATTAAGCTGTATCGCAAGTATGTGAAGTTATGTTCTATTTATAAATCTGTGAGTTTGAAAAGATGTGTCTTATCACTATTGTTTCTCATCTCAAGTTCAAGATACTTCAAGGACATTGATATCTTTTGCTTTTTATTTCACATATATACTTTGAATAGCGAGGAAGCTAAATTTTTCTCAGGAGGTTAAAAAAAAAAGGCATAAAGGACAGGAATGCCACCTCTGCCCATCCCACTTCTCACTAGTTTAACTGTCTGCCACTGTAAACTCATTAGAGCTCTAGAGATGGCTGATCTCCACCAGGTGGCCTGGTGTTCCGCTCTACCTACTCATCGCTGAGGCGTCAGAAGCAGCCAGGTCAAAATGCTAATTCAAAGGATGACCCTCAAGAGGTTTGTTTCCTTTTGTTTTGTTTTGACCTAGGGAAGGTTTTTTCCTTCAGGGTCATCACAGATAGCTTTGGATTTGTTTCAAAAGTTTATGAAAACCTCATCTGAGAGGTAGTAGCAAAGTTGATAGATTAATTTTGTTTCTGACGCTGCTTCCCTGTACGAGGGTGAAGACAGGAAGTTTCCTCGCCCAGTGACAGCCAGATAAGACTGTCTCCAGACCAAAACTGACATGATGACCTTTTGTCTAACTGGGAGCACCCATCTGTAACGTATTTCTCACCGTCTGTGCTTGTCCCTATAAACTGCTACCTACTTAACAAAGACCCGATGCTTCATGAAAGCATGAACATACAGGATACACGGCAGCTTACCTTAAACTCGTTCAACTTTTCTGGCTACCAAATCACATTAAGACTCAAATACCAATTCAAATGGAGCTCTTACATACTTTTAGAATATCAAAGAGAACCGCCTCATAAGGATGTTAGGTGATGACCAGTGACTACCAATGTTAATTTGCTAAGAACTCAAGAACCAATTCTTTATAACCTTTGGGTCAATTTCCTATTCTAGGTTTCCAAAAATAAAGGTAGCTCAACAAATATCTTCCCATCGTTGATGTCTTAACTTTTCAGTCAAGCAGCAGATTACTCACTTCAATTCACTTAGAGATAGAACTCCAGATAAGGTGCCATTAGCCAGATTTTGATTCTGTAGAAGCACAAAATCATTAAGAATATAACAAATACTGTTGTGGTCTTTTTTTTTTTACACTCTCTGACAAGAAGTTTTTCTTCAGTTTTGCTGGACACCCAAAGAACTACACCCCAAAGACTGATTGCTAACTGCATGGAGTATTACCTAGGGAACGATCAAATCCATATTGACTGAGCTAGTTTTTGCTTCTTTATTTCCTTTAAAAATATTCTGAAGCAGCAAGTATAATGTGCTAATTAATTTCACTATTCCAAGGGTTCCCCCAAAAGAACACTATTAAAACTCTCCACAGGAAAGGTCCCAGAGCTAAGTAAAAGATCTCAATGTAAAAAGGGAAACTTAGGAGCACCCATCACTGCATTTGTAGCACGTAGCTCATTGCCCAGCACATAGTAGGGACGCAGGAAATATTCACTGAATGAACAATCTACATTTAGCTGGGATCCTCTGAACCAGTCTAGGTTATGGGAAGTGTATGCACTAACCCTACTGCATCCAAATCCCCCATGGGGTGGAACAGAATCAGAATCAGAAGACTATTCTTAGATTCAATCTATTCCTTATTGCTAGAAGTTTCTAATATAATTTTAAAATTTAAAAGGCAATAGAATCCCATCATATAAACATTATACAGCAAGTCTAGTGAAAACCAAAATATGATTATTAAAAAAATACCATGATTATTATGAAGCCAAACCCTCATGACAAAGCTAGTGATTCAACAACACATATGTTATTTAAATTTGGTCACAAAAATATGCCAAATACCATAAATAACCTGTACTTTAAATAAATCGTTAAATGCACAAGCACTTGCTTTTTATTTTAGCAATAAAAAAAAATCTTTAAAACGTACCTGGGTAACACTGCTTTCTTCATATTGAAACATTATCTCACCTCTAAAAAATGCTAGAAATAAATTTTCAGAACAAAATTTGAGACTTGCATCCTCAGAGCTTAAGGATTACTACAACATAGGAAAAAGATTATCAAGTTACTTTATACATGGTTTCATTAAATTCTTTGTAGTTACTCACAGTCACTGTCTTTTCTAGCAGAAAGTTACTCAATGACTTGATCTAATTTTCAGAAAATGTGAACTATACATTTTATGTGGGAATGCAGAAAGAGAAAAAACGTGTCTCCTTTTCAAGAAATTCTAATCCTACGTGCTTCTCATCAGAACTTTGTTTCCCATAAAGATGCTAACTGGGGGGACTGTGGCTCTAACATTAAAACTCTTTTGGGGGGCACCTAGGTGGCTCAGTCAGTTAAGCGTCCAACTCCGGCTCAAGTCATGATCTCACGGTTCGTGGGTTCGAGCCCCGCGTCGGGCTCTGTGCTGACAGCTAACTCAGAGCCTGGAGCCTGTTTCAGATTTTGTATCTCCCTCTCTCTCTGACCCTCCCCTTCTCACACTGTCTCTATCTGTCTGTCTATCTCTCTCTCTCTCTCTCTCTCTCTCTCAGAAATTTAAAAAAAAAAACCAAACCTCTTTTTGGGCTGTTTTCATTGCCCAGTGAAGAAGGGAGGGGAAAAGTGTTTTTCAGCACTTAAGCAGTCTTGTGAAAATCTATTTATTCCTTGACATTTTGGGTTTTTTTTTTCTTTTTAAAATACAGTACCAAATGCAATCTCTCTCCTAGGAACAAAGTTGAGATTTTGTTCTTGAAATCTGAATAGTGTGAAGGGAGAATCCTTTTCTTTAGTGGAATAACTCATGGTGGCTTTCATTCCAGAAACACCAGAAAACTCTGTTCTTAAAATGCTCACTTTGGGAAATATAGAATAGAACTCATTTTAAGTCAGCCTGTTTCCTACAAGGTATACTTGGAGGGACTCAGATTCTGTCAGAAAAAAAGAAACTAGAGACTCCTTAAGAGAAGTGCATTGTGTGCACTTCATAATCTACAGAGACAGAAAACTGGTCTCATGAGCATAAGGGCGAAGAGGCCATATGAACACCTTTTTTTTTTTTTTTTTTTAAAGATCATATATCTGAAGTTTTGTGGGCCATACGTTCTGTCAGAACTACTCAGGTATGCACGAAAGCAGCCAGACAGTAAGTACATGAATGACATGGCTATGTTCTAATAAAACTTTTTAAAAAATTTTTAATGTTTTTTTTTAATTTATTTCTGAGAGAGAGAGAGAGACAGCATGAGCAGGGGAGGGTCATAGAGAGGGGGAGACACAGAATCTGAAGCAGGCTCCAGGCTCTGAGCTAGCTGTCAGCACAGAGACCGATATGGGGCTCGAACCCACGAACCGTGAGATCTGACCTGAACCAAAGTCGGACGCTTAACCGACTGAGCCACCCAGGCACCCCTAAAACTTTATTTACAAAAACAGGTGGCAGGCTTCATTTAGACTATGGTCAGTGGTTTGTCGATTCCTGAGCTAGAAGGTTGAATGCTTTCTCAACTCATCTTTTATAGCAACCTGAACTACAACTGATTCCCATAGCCAAGTTGGTCCGCTTCCACTTAAAATGGCTGACAAAGGGGGCCCCTGGGCGGCTCAGTCTGTTAAGCATCCTACTTCGGCTCAGGTCATGATCTTATAGTTTGTGGGTTCGAGCCCCACACTGGGCTCTGTGCTGACAGCTGAGAGCCTGGAGCCTCCTTCAGATTCTGTGTCTCCCTCTTCCTCTGCCCCTCCCTCGCTTGTGCTCTCTCATTCTCTCTCAAAAATAAAAATGTTAAAAAAATTTTTTTTATGGCTGACAAAGCCACTAGCCCAGTGATTAACCAGATTTATCTATTTTAGTGACTTTTCTACTGAGAGCCTCAACTTCTGCATATTGATATTGAAATCTCATTTGATGCAGTATACATAATTATAAAGGTAAAGATACTTGATGTATATATAGAATTACTTATCCATTTTTTTTTTACTTATCCATTTTTTAAAAAACTCTTAGCTCTTAAAATTTATTTAGTGTGTGTGCGCACATGCTGACATCTGCAATTTTTCTCCCTCACCCGTCTGTTCTCCAAGTCCATCCTTCAGGCTGGTGGGACACATGCTGAATTTCATAAATGTGCTGGGAGCACAGCAGTAGCAGAGTGACCAGGAAGCCACCGCCCCTTGACCCTCGGCCTAACTCTCGCTGGTCGGCTCCCAGTTTTTTCATCAGCCCCCATTTCCCTTAACGAACTCAGATTGGAACCTGCAAGAAGTGAAGGATTCTAGTTTCTGGCAGAATATCACGGAATTTCTGGTGCCAAAAAAGTCGGTTCCCTGATGAGGCTGTTTTCACCAGACACTAAAACAAATGGTCAATTCAGTTGCTTAATTGAGGAAAACATTACTGCAACTAGCTTCCTGGCATCTGTTATACAAGATGACCAGTTTTTTTTTTTGACTAACTGTTCAATTTTCAAAGTTATCAAACATTATGTAGACACAACACTAAACTAGACATTAGTCACCAGTCCAAAACACAGATGAAGCATAAAAATAATGAAATTATGGAGAATTCAGGAGAGTAGGGTAAGAGAAGACAGAGGGAAGAAGGAGAGAGAGAGAGAGTTACCCAATATATGAAAGGGAGATGAATCTAACAAGTTTTTTCCCCTTAATCGAAGCCAGATAATATTTTCCTACTGTATTGTACCTGGCGCATACTCCAGCAGAAAGCTCATATGAGTTAATCTCACGTTCACAGAAATAGAAAATGTTTGTGGACCATTCTTTGAATACAAGCTTTCCTTGTTTTCCAGCACTATCCAACCTTAAGTCATGTTACCTGAAATTGTTTCCTATGTTTTTCAAACAGATTATTCAACAGAACAAAAGGAACAGAATAAAAGGAAAACATTCCCATAGGAATTGTTTTTTTAGGACCTTTAATATCACAAACCACTTCGTTACCTTCCTCATCTCTCTTCTCATCATCCAGATCCGACCTGCCACACCGTGTTTTTATGTTTTTCACATCTGATTTCATTGGTTTTAATAAGGAAGGGAGCCCAGAGAGCCAAACCAACGTGAGAAAAATGGTTGTTTCATTCCTTCTGGCCCATGGCAGAAGGGAAAATATTCCCATTTCAAAAAATAGCATGTTCTCAAGAGATTTCCATCTTAATTTTTAAAAATAGCGGACAGTCTGGGTTAAAGATGGCAAAATACACTATGGGCACTACTGGAACTAGCATCCAATTAAACTCGGTGTACGTGAGGTTTTCAACATGCTAGTAGAGCAGTTCGTTTTATTTTTAGCAAAAGGCGACATCCTGTTTCTAAGCTATAATATTTAAGGTTCTGTGGAAAAGCTTGAGGGATTTATATACCAGAAGTGGCTTTCAATAATTAAGTTCACTACTTAATATATTCATAAATCAACCCTAAGAGTATTAGTTATGGATTTAAAGCTCTGGTGAAAAATATTTGGTGTGGAGCTCCATGTTCTCATATTAAGGAAGTTAATCCATCATGTCACTAAGCAATGGGAAGATAATTTCAGACAGATGTAAAATTTGCTTTTGTTTTCATTTGGGACTTCTTAGTAGCCAGGCAGTATAAAAAGAGACAGATCAGAGACGTACACATCACATACTCAACAGGAGACAAACAAACCTTTTCTCCCCATGGGGCTCATTCATCTGGTAACATGTAATGTACACAAGCACTAACCTGAGTCATTGCAAATAGATGACAAATTGCAGATATTTCTCTGGGGTTTGACTCCTGTGAAGAAAACATGACCCAACTGGTTAAACATGTCATCACCTACACTTTTATACTACATTGTCAAGAGAATTCACAAATGTAGGTATCAAACATGGACCAAAAATATTATAAGTTGGCTGTAATTGGCTGGATGAATTCCACAAAGGCTAAAGAAATGAGTTTTCATTTCTTAGTTAGCCAGCTATAGAACGTCCTGCTTTACTATTCTTTTAGTATGTCAGTGTCTGATCCTCTACTCCTCCCTAAAAATATTTTTGTCCCATTCCCAATTAATCCCTCCCCTGTCCAGTATAAAAAGAATAGTGTAACCCCAATGTTCATAGCAGCACTCTCCACAATAGCTAAAACATGGAAAGAGCCTCAGTGTCCATCAACGGACGAAGGGATCAAGAAGATGTGGTTCATCTATACCATGGAATACTACATGGCAATGAGAAAGAATGAACTCTGGCCATGTGTAGCAACATGGATGGACCTTGAGGGTGTTATGCTGAGCGAAATAAGTCAGGCAGAGAAGGACAAATATCATATGTTTGCACGTATAGGAGGATTAGGAGGAACTTGACGGAGGAACAAGGGGGAGAAGAAGGGCGGAAATGGTGGGGGAAAGGGAGAGAGGCAAACCATGAGAGACTCTTGAATGCTGACAAAAACTGAGGACTGATGGATGTGGGGGGGAGGGGGGAGGGGCATGGAGAAGGACACTTGTGGGGATGAGCACTGAGTGTTATGTGGAAACTAATTTGACAATAAACTATTTGTAAAAAAAAAAAAAAGAATAGTGTGAATGCAAATCTAGTATAGAGATTTAAATGGAATAGCCCATACTCATAGATCCTCTTTCCTTTCCTGGGCAGGGGAGTCCATGACGCTCTAATATTTCCTTATGCAAATGTATATAAGAAATAACATCAATGTCATGATATGATTGCACATAGGCAAAAACTGCAAAATTCAACAACTATTTGCTGAACAACTACCATATTCTACAGGCTTTGGAATGTTGCAGATACAGACCCTGCCCTCAATGAGCGTACAATCTAGGAAGGGATACTGGCCAGTAAATAAAAAGTTATAGGGGTGCCTGGGTGGCTCAGTTGGTTAAGTGTCCAACTTCGGCTCAGGTCAGGATCTCATGGTTCGTGGGTTCGAGCCCTGTGTTGGGCTCTGTGCTGACAGCTCAGAGCCTGGAGCCTGCTTTGGATTCTGTCTCCCTCTCTCTCTACCCCTCCCCCGCTCTGTCTCAAAAATAAATAAACATTAAAAAGAAAAAAGTTATAGCAAGGGCAAAATGGAGGGACAGCCAGGTCAACAAACTACACAGGCATACAAAGGAGACAGAGGTGAATGGGAGACAAAATAAGTCACGTCAGAACAAAAAATTTCATACATATTCACCTAAAAAGCACTTTCTTCTTTGGTGAAAAGAGACATACATCTTCCTTGATTTGAATACAGCTCAAGGTTTACTCCCCTCAAAATCTTGCCTTCATTAATTTCATCCTTTTGGCGAAGTATAAGAAAACCATAGCAAATGTGAGAGGCAAATGCCCATAATGTATTGAGCAAAGTGCCATGAGGGAACCGTTGTTAAGGAATATTTTGCTGTCCTTGTTAGGTCTGGTTTGGTCAGAATTATGTATGCAAGGCCTGACTGCTATTTTATTTCCATTGTACTTTATGAATGCTTAATTCTTTCTTTAGAGAACTAGTTTGGACACAGACTAAAATTATAACTTGTGTTAGTGCATGGAAATGGTTTCTGCCAGGACGATTTAGTTGACGCTTGGTGAACAGGTGTCATGCTTCAACTAAGAATTGTGATTCTGTGAGCAAACTGAATTTAGGTGTCAAAAGCTATCTGACATGTAGGATTTTCTATTCTTTCACAGCTCTGTGACCCACACCAAAAGATAAAGATTTCCAGTTAAGTACACCTGCTTTAGATGGTGGGTAGTAATGCTTTAAATGTTCTCTACAACTGTTGGTCTTTTCTTCACTAAATGTTACATTCTACCATCTCTCATCTTTCTCTAAATTTTAGTGGCAACTTTGTTCCCAGTGATGTGTGTCTTTGGGGGCTCGTTAATCTTGAGAATTTTCTTTCTCATTGCCAGGGCTGTCATCTGTATTTTCCCCAAAGTACATAGCCACTGCTCATCTTTTAAGTCATGAATGAGAAAACTTTGTAAATGGTCAAAGAGTAAGTATTTTAGGCTTTGTGGGCCATATAGTCCCTGTCACAACTACTCGAGTCTCCTGTTCATTGTACTGAAAATTCACCATAGATAACATGTCAACAAATGGGCATGGCAGTGTTCCAATAAAACTTTATTTACAAAGATAGATAGTAGGCTATATTTGCCCCATAGGCCATAGTTTGCCAACCCCTGCTTTAAATCAACAGAAGACTTTGTTAAGTAGATCATGTATCCCTACCCTTGCACTACTTAAACGTATATCCCTTTTTTGATTTCAAAAGAGAATGAGGTTTAGTCTTCTAAGAATCTTTCTCTCACAAATTATATCCTATTGATGACCACTAACTAGAACCAGCCCTTTTATGTCCCATGCTTCTTAACTATGTCAGAGACACTTGTGTAATCATTTGCTTTTATCTGCATACATGTTCATGTTAGTTACCTGTTTGTTTGCCTTGTCTCTCCCGAACTAGCAGATTTCTAAGGGTGGGCTTTGTATCTGATCATGATTATATAGCCCCAAACACTTAGTACAATTTCAGGTACCCAGTGCATAAACATCTATTCATTAAGAATAGATTGCATTGTTTAAATGTTTTATTTATTTATGAGAGAGAGAGAGAGAGAGAGAGAGAGAGAGAGACAGCGTGAGCAGGGAAGGGTCAGAGAGAGATGGAGATACAGAATCTGAAACAGGCTCCAGGCTCCGAGCTAGCTGTCAGCACTGAGCCTGATGTGGGGTTCGAACCCACGAACCGTGATATCATGACCTGAGCCAAAGTCAAGACGCTTAACCAACTGAGCCACCCTGGCACCCCCAGATTGCATTTTTTTAAAGGTAGGAAAGAAAAAGAGAAGGAAAACATAAATACCAGCCATTTGTTTAATTTTACTTTAGTTATAAAAAAGAAAGTCTTGATATTGATAGTAAGTCATACCTGATGCATTGAAGGTTTTTACTATAGTGATTTTAGTTTTTTCTGCAAAGAAGCAATTTAAATATTAGAGCAGAATTGTTGCTTGCTTTTAAAAAACAATTTGCCACGAGTATCATTTTAGTGAAGTGCTAAGAAAATCATACTGTTGACACCTTTAAGACACTATCGGTCATCCGAGGAGCAGAATAAATGGGAATCACATACACAGATCATATAGCACTGGAATAGGGTGGGTCTGGGATTTGGATTCCCATATTTACCCAGTTATTTCATACCCATCGCACACCCCACTGCTTGTGTAATTCTGCATTTCCATGTACTGCTGCTAGACAAATCAAGGCAGACTTACACTTCAGATACGTAGACTTAAGTAAGTCACTCTCAGGACCTTCAACTGACAGGCTGTAATGAGCCAGTGACTCAGAGTAAAAATTAATGGAAACACAAGATCTAAAATAGTGTATGCTTTACAATCAAGGGAGTGTCCTGCTATTTTCTTTAGGAGCTAATATGTTATTGCCATTTTAATGATAGATAATATTCTCAAAGAGGTTGAAACTATCCAACTACAGTGGTACAATAGGCTCACAGCAGAACCGGAAAAGAACTGTTCAAACCAGACAGATATTAACACACTCTGAAGAAGCAAACCTTAGAAATATCTTCTCAACACACTTTGGGGACAGAGTCCATGGTTCATTTTCCAGATAATGGAGAACCAGGTTCAGAAATCCTTGCTGTAAGGATGGCCAATTAGAAGAGGCTGTGGTGGGGCATGGATTTGCAAAGAAGGTCTGTCTCCTAGGGTGAGTGGCAAATTCTGAGGAAAACACAAAGCTCAGGTCTTGGAGAAGCACTTAAGAATGATGACATTACACCAACAGTTTCAGAAACCTCATTTGTGTTACATGTTATTGATGAGTTTCCGTTTCACTGTGTGACTGACCCACGGGCAATGGTTGGTAGTAATTATAGAGGCTGACGGTGTTTTGCCTTCTCATTAAGAATCTTTTAAATATCTTCTTTTGTTTGCCCTGATACTTTCCTTCCCAGAGCAAGCAAAATACATCTGTGAAATGAACTTCCGGTTCTAGTAAAGAAAGTGCTTTTGGGGAAAAATGTTCAACCTCACTGACAATCAAGAATGTAAAACAGAACCTAAGGAACTGAAGGCATAGTTTCAGCTCTGAGCAAAGGTACAGGGACACAGACACTCTCGTTCACTACTGGCAGCCATGTTGCTGGATACAACCTTTCAAGAGGGTAACTGGGCAACAGGTAGATCAAGGACCTTAAAAGATTCTTCATGCTAATCCATTAAGTCCAACCCTTGGAATGCATCCTACAGAAATCAGAAATGAATCCAAGATGTTGGCACAAGGATGTTCATTGCAACAATTTCTAATAAAAGAGTAGACACAGCTTTATTAATGTTCAACATATGGTACACAATGGAATATGATCAATAGTAAGGGACAATGGAAAATACTTAGAATTCAATATGCAGTCAAAAGGGCAAGACATAAAAATCCATATAAACTATGACTATTTGTAAAAGATATATATATATATATACACACACATTTATGTGTATATATGATTCTGAATGGAAATATGCCAAATTATTAACAGTAATAGTCTTAAGAAAGTAATATTAGAGATGATTTCTATTTTTCTCTGCATTTTTCTATATTCTCCATTTGTTATGAGCTAAGATATATTACTATCATAAGTTTTAAGGTTATTTTAAATGGAGTGCTATGGCCATAACAGTTTGGAAGTTCAGGAATGTGAGAACACCAGAATCACTGTTCAATGTCAAAGTAAAACAAGTAGTGACTCAAGAAGGCAGAGAAGACAAGCTATTATATTTAGAAAGAACTTGATATTACCTGTTTTGTTTAAAGTGGATAATACACTCGAAGTAGCATCTGAAATAATGAAATAGAAATGAAGCCTAATTATTGACATGGATTAACAAATACATGCATTTTCTAGGTTCCTTAAGCATTTCACTTTTCCCAAATCCTAGAGCAGTTAGAGTTTTGCAAAAGCCAACAGACAGTACCAAACGCATTTGCTGCTCATCCCACCACACTATCCATTCTCCAACCCCCAGGCACCATTCCTGAGCAAGCATTCATCCATTTAAAATGCATTTCTTGAACACAGGTGATGTGTCTAAAATATAGCAACACTCCTCTAATTCTTAGATGGAAACAATCTCATTTATGTTTAATATTTTGCCCCTTTTTTACTCCATTATAATTAAAGACCCTAAGGGATATGATGTTTCCAGTTAATACCAACTTTATGATGTAGCCCTGTGGATGCTTAATGGTACACTCTTACAAAGCAATCATTAAGTGATTCTAGTTTAAAATTAAAATTCTGGAACATTACATTTAAGTACTTTTTAGAAAAATCTTATTTTGATCTTGTTTCACTTAAAATCCAGTTAAAAATCTATTCTAATTGGTATTTCTTTAAATAAAAATTCTATAATGTACTATTCTGGATGAAACTTTAGGGGTGAAAAGGCATGTATTACATGATCACACTTAAAAACCCACATACAATGGATTCAAATACTACTGCCAAAGGTATTTTGAAGGTGTTCTTTCACTGTAAAAAGTGATTAAACATAAAAACGATAATATCTAGCCCTTCCCATTGGGCCAAGTTTGAATTTAAATCCATTTCGACCAGTGTGAGTTTCATCTATGATTGTTTAGCTCCTTAACCACTAACCACACGGTGAGAGTTTTATTTTAACTGAGTAAGGGACTGTGAAAAGTGTAGGGTTTTGACTGCACAAAGACGGAGGCCATCTACCACCCACAGAGCGGGGCGCACAGAATGTGCCCTCCTGCCCACCTCCATCGAACACAGCCCAGTTCTCTAGCATGATGAAGAGGCCAGGTATTTTTTTTTACGTCATACTATTTAAAATTGATGAAACCATCTGGAAAAGGGCTGAAGCGTATTGAAGTCGCTGGATGTGCTTGCACATTTACACAATCTGCCACGTAAGACATGCTGGCACTGTGCTGGAGAGCAAGGGACACAGGGTACTCCAAATGTATTACCAGTTCTTTTCCTTTACAGAACAGTCAGCCTAATAGGGGGCTGTCCTCCCGCCATGATAATAAGGATATTGTCATTTAAGCAAAAAGTTTAAGTTGCTCTCCAGGGTTGATAGTTTTGGGGGTTTGTTTGATTGGAGGTTTTTTGTTGTTGTTGTTTATTTGAATATGAAAACTTGCAACAGCACTCATTATACTTTTATTCATATTAGCTATTATCAAATTTCACTGCTTCAGAAAAATCCTTACCATTTAGGCTTGTAGTTTCAACCTCTTTGGCCCCAAGAGGGAAAAAAAAAAAAACAGTAAAAAGGTTTAATTAAATCAAAAACTTAACAAATTGGGCGAAATCTTGGTTTGAATTTTTTCAAAATCTTGCCTGTAGTAGTACCATTGGAGTAGGGGACAAAACCAACAAGAGATGATTCAGCTGTAAGAGGAAAAATAACAAAAATTTTCTAGTTAATACTTTGAAACAATTATTTATTGAATTTTAAAGGAGTTAAAACTTTTGAGATGGAATTATACAAAGAAGTAGACAACATGCTAGCAGATCAATGTGAGTCTGCAAGCCCCATAATCACTCAGAGAATATACAGAGATGGCAGAGAAAGAACCCAAGAAATGAAATGAGTACAGCTGTCTCCTTTTACAGATAAAGAACTTGACACTCATGCCTCAAAGCTTGCTCCTACCTATCGAATATTATGGAAATAAGTTTAGAAACCATAGCAAAATATGTGATATACTACTTTCAAATCTTTCCAGCCAGAGAATTCTAGAAAATATTCTCTACTTTAAATATTTGTCAAACTACAGGGGTTCCTGGGTGGCTCAGTTGGTTAAGCGTGCCTTCAGCTCAGGTCATGATCTCACACTGCATGGGTTCGAGCCCCACGGTGGGCTCTGTGCTGACAGCTCAGAGCCTGGAGCCTGCTTCAGATTCTGTGTCTCCCTCTCTCTCTGTCCCTCCCCCACTCGCATTCTGTCTTCCTCTCAAAATAAAGACAATTTTTTTTTTTTAATTTTGTTGAACTACAATTATGAAACACATCAGCACATTGGCTCCATTCTGTTATAATGATGCCTGGCAACTCTTCCCGTGGTGAACTGAGGACTAAAAAAAATAAAAAAATAAAATAAAATAAAATAAATAAAATAAAATAAAATAAAATAAAATAAATAAAATAAAATAAAATAAAATAAAATAAAATAAAATAAAACAACATCACTCTCACTCACTACCTAATAAAATGTCCTGGTAAGTTATTTTAAAATATGGCTGCTACTAGGACAATCAATCAAGTCATAAACATCCCATGGAGCACGTCCACTTAGGGTGAGAGGTCAATCTACGACATACATTGTGCAAGTTTAAATATTAAAAAGATCCAATGGCTTGACTTCTACGTATACGCAGGAAAAGTAAACACAAACACTTAACGAGTGATACAAGCTCTGCAGTTGGCGGCCTGATACTCAGCCACGAGGACAACACTGGGTGTGTCAGGGCGCCTGGCCGGCCTGTCTGTTTCAGTCTGCTCATGCGTTGGCCGAAACACACACACCCTGTCTGTCCTACGTTATTGCTTCCATATTTTGTCACTTACTACAGTTTTTTTTTAATTACCAAGGATATTTCTTAAGAAATAAGACAGTTCCTGAGCAAACAGATTCAAAGTGTGGATACGGAATCCTTTGCTCTTGGGGCAAAACAAAATAATTGGTCAAGGCTGTTTTTCAATTAATGAGGATTAATTCTTCTGCAAGTTGATGAGTGGTAAGAAGAGGCGTGTGGGCACAAGCACCTGTCAGTCCCTGGACGTGCACAGGCTCCTACATCCCAGTTAGTGCAGGACCCAGGCTGTGACTGAAACCAGCGGGTGCGCGCAAAGCTCCATACGTCATGTTTCCACACGAACAGGATTTTGCTAAGATAGCACCATGATTAAGTCTGATGCTGGCTATCGAACTAGAAGAAAAATACAGTGGTTCATTTTACCCTAGCAGCTTAACAGCAAGAGGGCAAACTGGTGCAGTAAAAACAGTTTAGGCTCTGGAGGCTTGTGGTCCTGGGTTTGAATCTTTGCCCCATTACTTAATAGTTCATAATAATGATAGTTATTACTTAGTGGGGGTTTACTCTGTGTCAGGTGCATATGTTATCTCATTTCATCTTCACAACTACCCCGTGAAGCAGGTACTGTTATAGTCCCCGATTTATAGATGAAGAAACTGAGGCACAGAAAGGTGACGAAACTTGCCCAAAGACACACAGCTATCAGGAGGCGGGAGGGTGGTGGCTGAGTTCGAACACAAGTAGTCTGGCTGCACAGAATGTGTGAACATGAGCAAGTTTTATCCTCTCTGACCCTGTTTCCTGTTCTAGACCCTGAATATAATAATCCCTATACTGCAAGACTGGAAACTGCCTAAGATGTCTGAAGACTCCCAAGCACGTATATGTGCACAAGAAGTAACAGCTATCATTATTAACTGTATTTATTTATTTTTAACTTATTTACTCATTTTGAGAGAAGAGAGAGTGTAAGCAGGGAAGGGGTACAGAGAGAGAGAGAGGGAGAATGAGCGGAGGAGGGCAGAGAGAGAGGGAGACACAGAATCTGAAGCAGGCCCTCAGCACAGAGCCCGATGTGGGGCTCGAATCAACAAATCACAAGATCATGACCAGAGCCAAGGTCAGACACTTAACTGACTGAGCCACTCAGGCATCCCATGCAAGAGGGATAATCTTAAGCAAAGCAGGCTGCATGCTCACTGCTGAGCCCGATGTGGGGCTCAAACCCACAGACTGTGAGATCATGACCTGAGCCAAAACCAAGAGTCAGACACTTAACCGACTAAGCCATCCAGGGGCCTCTTAATTTTGTTTAAATTAATGAACAGAAGCTCATTTTGATACAACTAAGGATAAAATGTGAGTTGGCTCGCCCCTTAGCACAGAAGATTGTTCTGCAACATACGGTATACCAGAAAGAACGCAGAAGCGGGAGGCAGGAGAGCCATGTGCTGCCTGTGCGTAATGGGGGCAGGGAGCTGAGTGACCTTAGGTAAGTCGGTGGCACTTCACTATCTCATCAGCTAAGGGATGGGGCTGGACCACTTTATCCCTGAGGTCTGGTTCCAGCCAGCAGTCTCGAATGTGGGTTCTATTCCTGGTTCCTGCCACAACAGCCTAGTGAAAACTTCTCTTTATTTGCCTTCCCCTTCTGAGGAGTGCTAAGCCTTCCGAAGCCCTTTGAAACATATCTGTTCAGAGGCGACTGAGGAAGTATACTTAAGAGAACGTCTCATCCTCAAACATAGGAACATTCGGCAGGTGTATGTTCTTGATGCTCTTCAGGAGACCTGTGAGGTAGAATACTAACAGTAACGTTGAAGAACTTAACCAGCTACAGTCATGAAAACCTACGATTTATTCCGCAGATTTGTCCATAAATGTGGGGGAATCGGTATGCCTGCCCTCCTGTCTATGTGTGCTATAGCCTTTTTAGGTGTAGGTTTAATGACAGAATTTAATTGACCTTCATGGAAAAAGGCAACTTTGCTGTATCATGCCATATTTCATGGAGAACTTACTACTTTCCTGACATTCCCCCAAGGTCAAGAAATAACAGTCTTGGGGCGCCTGGGTGGCTCAGTCAGTTAAGCGTCTGACTTCGGCTCAGGTCATGATCTCACGGTTCGCGGCTTTGAGCCCCGCATCGGGCTCTGTGGGGACAGCTCAGAGCCTGGCGCCTGTTTCAGGTTCTGTGTCTCCCTTGCTCTCTGACCCTCCCCTGCTCATGCTGTCTCTCTCTCTCTCAGAAATAAATAAAACATTTTTAAAAAGTTTAAAAAATAAAAAAAGAAATAACAGTCTTACCAGATGGTGATAACAAACTGGAATTATCGGCATTCTCTGTTGAGGAAAAAGGTGATTTAAAGTTAGTTTAGTTCGTGCATGAATTTGTAGATGAACATCTTTAACGGAAGTGAATGTAAACTGAGTTGCAAACTGCTACCAAAAGAGGGCAGTATATTAATTTACTATTATTTTCAACAGCCTCATCAGTACTTCTTTTCAAATCAAATGGCTGGTGAAGCAATTCTTCCAATTTAACTGTTGACGGTGCTCTCTATATTGTTATATAATGATTCAATGCATCTTAAACTGAAAATGATGACTAAGAACTTCAACTGTTGGCTAATATTCGTTCAAATTTGTAAAAGTAAAGGTATCTATGGGCATAAACTAAACTTCCATTAACTGTGCTTCTTTTTTATTCTTTACTTTACTTTACTTTTATTTTATTTTATTTTATTTTATTTTATTTTATTTTATTTTATTTTATTTTATTTTAGTATTTGAGAGAGAGAAAGAGAGAGAGAGGGAGGCGGGGAGAGAGAGAATATCTAAACAGGCTTCATGCTCACACAGAGGCCGACCAGGGACTCAATCCCACGACCCTGGGATCATGACATGAGCCAAAATCAAGAATCGGAAGCTCAACCAACTGAGACACACAGGGCCCCCCCCCCGCCAACTGTGCTTCTTTTTGTACCTATTAGCACAGCCTTTATACCTATTAAGCCACTACTTATGAGTTAAACTAGATCAGATGCCTCTGAGTTTATACACTACAAGACTGTTATTTATTTTGAGAAGATGCTCGGATTCCTTAAAAGAAAAGTAATTCTATTTTTTTTCTCTGTGAAAAATATTACAACTTATTGGAGCAACTTCAGATAAATTACAGATAAGAAAGCAAATTAAACCCATTTATAATTTCACCACCCAGATGTAACCGACATTAACATTTTGGCATTTAGGGGGCGCCTGGGTGGCTCAGTCGGTTAAGCGTCCGACTTTCGCTTAGGTCATGATCTCGTGGTTCGTGGGTTCGAGCCCCGCGTCGGGCTCTGTGCTGACTGCCAGCTCAGAGCCTGGAGGCTGTTTCAGTGTCTGTCACTCCCTCTCTCTCTGACCCTCCCCTGCTCACGCTGTCTCTCTCTCTCTCTCATAGAAATAAATAAAAACATTAAAAAAAATTTTTAAAAAAACATTTTGGCATTTAGTCTTTGCTCTCGGTATGTATATCTACATATGTATATAGATATATGAATAGATATGTGTATATATGTATTTATATGTATAAGAAAGATCATATCACATAAACTATTTGTAACCTGATTTTTCTCATGACAGTATATCCTGAACATTGTTCTATATCACTAAACAATTTTCCATAATACCACTTGTGACCACTGTATAGCATTTCATTGACTGGATATACCATTAATTTATACAGCAAATTTCATTCTGATGTGTATAACTTTTCATGCTTATAAACAATGACTCAATAAATAGTTTTGGCTACATTTTGTATACAAGCTTGGCTATCTCCTTCACAAATTCCATGATTTTGACTGCCAAAATGCCCTACAAAAACCAAACCAATTTATACAACCCTCTGCAGTATATGAGTGTCACTTCCCCAAACTCTCACCCATGTGGGGGGTGTTCTTTTAAAAATTTTAATTTTTTAATTACAAAGGAATGATTATTTCCACAGGGGTATCTCGAAATACAATTTAAAAAAAAAAGAATACGTATGTTTGGAAATGAAAATTGCGCAGTGAAACATATCTGGTAGGGTCTAGAAGCCTAGTTTCCTGAAGTGGTGGTAGGGTAGATAAGGTAGATAGGGTAGGTAGGGTACTAGGGTAGGGTTATTTTCTAGGATCATTAAAGCACAATTCTGCTTGAAAGCAAGACTGAATGAGTGCTCAAGTTCCCATTACCCTGCAGCCAACAAGGCAAATGTACACAGAGTGGTTACTGCCTTGATGCCCCAATTTAATTGCAATTGCCTCCTTAGTCTGTGTCCTCCAATATAATCCTCAGGCCACTTCAATATTCCACCAATTAAAGAGTCTGTTGAGGTAACAGAAGCTTAATTTTTAAAATACTCTTGGGAGCACTAAGGGCAAATCAGTCATTCACACCGTAGTATGAATTACTTCCAACTGGCTGAATTCTTCTGATCCTGTAGTAAAGACCTACCATAATGGGCCATGTTGAAAAGTACTGGGATGAATCAACACTGAATATGGGCACCTCTGAGAATGACATTTATCGGTGTGGGCAGGTGAGGTGGAGTGGGCCAGGAACATGGCATAGGCAGGAAAAAGCATGAAGGTGCTGAGGAAGAGCTGAATACCAGGAAAGAGGGACGGAGAGTGATGTTGAAGGGCAACAGAGACTTAACGGTCTCCTCTACAATGCTGCGCAGGGGTTGACCATAGCCACCAATGGTTCCAACCCTGTCCACTGCTCAGTCCTCTGATCCACAGCCAGAGCTGGCCTCTGCCATCTTGGAACCTAGAGGGCTGCCAGCAATGGTCTACATTGATGGAAGGAGGACATTTCGTTCATAAAAGCCAGAGATTTTTCAATTGATATTGTCCACTTTTTTCTTTTGGCATTTTTTTCTTCTAGCCTGACTGCTGAGTGACTAACATTTTACTCATTTTTTTTCTCTCATTACAATCTTCCACATCACTCTTCCTGGTCCAAAATAGAGACGTCCCCATAGGCCTTACATTTTCCTGACTATCAGCCTGTTTCTCTTGGGCTCTTTCCGAACTCACTTCCCATTTGTCACAACCAAAGAGGTGGTCTGCATTTCCAGTGAGTCAAATATTTGAGCCCCATGCCATTCTTAGGAGACAAAACATTTCCATTGTTACAAGGATTCATAAACAAAGAAAGGAAAAACATTTAAAATTTTCAGATTTTCCTTTGGAAACATCCAAAGAGCAAATTTTAAAGCATTATTCATTTATTGAAGCTTCAATTTAAGTCAATAAATAAAATTATTATGATATGTCTATAAAACTTACTCAGTGTGACTCTCCAGTAATGTTTTAAAACCGAGTCTGTATATTCCAGTTATGAAGAGCAGGACCCTGGCATGCATACGCTTCGAATGGAAGCCAAAGACAGGAAGTGGAGACTCAAGAAACCGGCCTCCTCAATGGAGTCTCTTACCCCATGTCACCTCCCTGGTCTTTTCTCTGTTATCGCCACCACCTCCTAAACCCCAATGCTACGTGGCCAAGTGTGATCTGAGCACTGCCGTGTGAACAGCTTACTGGCTTTGCCTCTCCAACTCCATTAAATCCTAAAACGCATCCCTCCTTACCCCACATCACTTCCACACCCACGTAGTTTTTGAATTTGATAGTACTGCTGGTAACATCAGCCAAATAATTTAAGGTGGAAATCTCAGTGTATTAGCTTCCTGTTGCTGCTGTAACATATTACCATGAGCTTGATGGTTGAAAACAACACAAATGTGTTAGGTTAGAGTTCTGTAGGTCAGAAGTCCAATATGGGTCTTGTCAGACTAAAATCAGGGTGTCAACAGGCTACATGCCTTTCTGGAGGCTCTAGGGGAGACTGGGTTACTACAGAATTCAATTCCTTGCAGTCGTAGGCCAAGGTCCGCATTTTCCTGCTGGCTATAAACTAACTCTAGAAGCCACCCATATTTCTCAGATCACGCCTCATTCCTCCATCTTCAAAGCTAGCACGGTAGGATGGGGTGGGGAGTCCCTTCACCTGGGGCATGCTGCTGACTCATTCTTCTGCCTTCCTCTTCCACTTTTTTTTTTTAATTTTTTTTTAATGTTTTGTTTATTTCTAGGAGAGAGAGAGAGACAGCGTGAGCAGGGGAGGGTCAGAAAGAGAAGGAGTCACAGACTCTGAAACAGGCTCCAGGCTCTGAGCTGGCAGTCAGCACAGAGCCCGACGCGGGGCTCGAACCCACGAACCGCGAGATCATGACCCAAGCGAAAGTCGGACGCTTAACCAACTAAGCCACCCAGGCGCCCCATTTCCTCTTCCACTTTTAAGAACTCCCAGGATTAGACTGGGCTCACCTAGGCAGCCCACAATAATCTCCCTGTGCCACAGTCTTTAACTAGAATCACAATGTACAAAGTCCCTTTTGTTCTGGGAGGTCACCTATCTACAGGTGCCAGGCACCAGGGCAGGGACATCTTAGAGGCCCCATTATTCTCCCTACAATGCTCAGAAATCCAGGTTTCTTTTTAAAATATAGAAAATATAAATCACAAGGAATCACCCTCTATGGAAAACAAAATCTCACAGGGTTATAAGAGAAGGGCCTGGAAACCCAGAGTTGGTTTAAGCAATAGAACTGAGCGTATGAATCAAATGCTCGCTCTCTGGCCATTGCCCCTGACTCCTCCCTTCTCCAACCTCCATGTCCAGTAGGTGCTTCCCACCGTAACCTGGGGCTATTGTAAGGAGTAAAGAGAGACGGCGTATGTATGAGAAACAGCAACAGCACAACACTGGTTGGTGCTTCCTGTGAGGCAGGCTAATCCTTCATACACGCTTTATTATCTGATCAACCAACAACTCCCTGAGATAATGTGAATTCATTAGCATCAGTCCATTTTAGTGCTTGAGAAACAGTCTGGGCAAGGTGCAGTGACTTGTTCAAGGCCCCACCAGTAATTCACTGTACAGCTGACTTTTGAGCCCAGACGATCTGACCTCAGAGCCTACCCTCTGAGCCTCTACTCTATTCTGCTTCCAATGACAAACTATGTAGACCATAAACTAATATAAAAATGTAGGGGATTATTATCAATATTCCCTAAGCGCTCTCTTGTCCGTTCCTTCTTCCTACTGCTCCCTTCTAAGCCTAGGCCTTGGTCGCCTCATACTTGAGTGTAATATTAGAACCCCAGAATCTTCTAGTTGGAAAGGATCTTAATGGTCTTTGCATTCGACTTCTCGCCCCTTCAAAACGTTGAACAAATGCATACTATTGGCTCATGATCCCAATTTGGCTCTCGGGCAAGTTCTATCTTGCCCACACACTG